GCACAAAACTAAAAACACTCACATCCTCAAAAACTACCGAACCTTCTGTCTGGCAAAGAAAGAAAATTGGAGACAATTTGTTGCGATGCAGGATGGCTGTACAAAAGGCTTCTGAACACAGAAAAAATGAAAATCTGCCTATTGCTAGTAAAATAGAACAACTGAGGAAAGATATATTAAACGTACCAAGCCATGTCTTTGGAGAGCATAAAAACTGTTCAGAGCGTGGATATTTCTGCAACCTTGACCCATCTTCAGCTCCACCAAATGAAAACTTGGTTCCCAATCTAATATCAGTAGGGTTGTACACGCAGGTGTTAGACATTTTTAGATACTTGAGCCGTCACAGTGCCAGCCTGATAGCAGACGTCAACAGTAATTACGTGGAACACTACAATTCCATTGTAGCGAAATTCATTGGGGGCAAACGGGTGAATTTCGCTAGCACAGGATCATTTACAAGCAGATGTTCTGCTGCGGTTGTACAGTATAATTCGGGACTTGCGCATTACAAGCTGCACAAACAGATTTATGACTCCAGTCCAGGCACCTTTGCGAAGAGCACGGCACTGAAAAGGAAAAAGAAGGTAGAAAATCAACGAAATCAGAAGAGATGTAGAAAAGCATTGTTTACACACAAAAATTCATCGTGTGAAAAGGACTATGGGCCTAGATGTGAACAACCCGACATCGACGAGAACCAAATGGAAATTGAAAAAGAAGAGTTTTTGAAAAGTTTATTTAAAACTGAAGAGGAAGTACGGCGGATTGAAAGAGAGACGACTGAACAGAGTGGCTGTAGCGAGTGGCTGGAGATTAGAAGAAACATCCTCACAGCATCAAACTTCGGGAGGATTTGTAAAATGAGACCCACTACAGGCTGCGAGTCCATCGTGAAGCAGCTGCTTTACTCTTCATTCGATTGTGAAGCCATGAGGTATGGGAGAAGCAATGAAGAGACAGCACGCCAAGACCTTCAACAACACATAGGCGAGGAAATAAAGAAATGTGGGCTATTTATCGATATCGACCATCCCTATCTTGGTGCAAGTCCCGATGGATTGGTAAATGACGATGCAACGGTGGAAATAAAGTGCCCAGCGTCTGCCAAAGACTTGACTCCTGATGAAGCAATTAGGAAGAAAAAGTGTACTTTCTGGTCATCAAACAAAAAAGGAGAGATTGGAGAAATTAATAAAAAACACGCCTTTTATTACCAAATTCAAGGCCAGCTACATGTTACGAAAAGGGAATTTTGCATTTTTTGTCTATGGACTCAAAAAGGAATAAAAAGCGTTGTTGTAAATAGAAATAAAGAATTTTGGGAACAGGAAATGTTTCCTAAGCTAACACAATTCTACATGAACTGCGTCCTCCCAGAACTAATAGACCCTCGAAACAGTAGGACTATGCCGATTAGAAATCCTGGATACATTTTGGAGGCTCAAGAAAAAGCCAAGAAGAGAACAGACAAAAGAACAAAAGAAATAAGTTTGTAAATAGTTGTACAAAGCACGTCAAGAAAGCATTGTATCCTAATATAATTTCAAATTTTTTTTGTAATTTTGTTTTAAAGCGATTTTTAAACTTTTAGGCTTATTGGTTTACTTATATGTTCAAAATAATATATTGTACATAAGTGTTTATTCATGTTGTAAAATTATATAATACTTGTGCTTTGTGAATATTCAGTTACAGATATATTATTTATTTAATAGATTTGCCTTACCGTTTTATTTTTACATACTGTATATTCAATTAATTGTACATATTTATTTTTAAAATTATGTTGTAAATAACTATAGAATATGAGACAGGTTTTTACTCTACTGACCCATATATTTTTCATTCATTATGCAATGTTTCAAAATGTTTTTATTTTATTTCAAACATACCGGTACGGTACGAGTATAATTAATTAATTACAGATATACATTTATTAGAACTAAACTGCCCTCCTGTAGTTGTGTTACTGATATATATATTTAATAAAATGTGCATATAAACATTACATTAAGTGTGGGTTTTAAACTTTTAAAAATTATGTTTTAAATAACTGTAAAATATCAAACTTGTTTTTACTCAACTGGCTCATATATGTTTTATTCATTATTGTAATGTTTCCGAATGATAAAATTGAATTTGAAACAAAAATCACTTTCCTAATTATAAATGGATTAATATAACCTAACGATGTTTTATTATATATTCCTACAATGCACATTATTATATAATATTTTAGAATTAAGTTCTATCGGTGCTTTTATTATTATTGATGGTATAGTTTCAAATCAAAGATAACTGTGCAGGTAGCTGGCCAATTTTAAATATATTTTAAATATGAAAATGGCCAAGTTTCAATTTTTGATGTATTGCACCTAAAACAGAGAGCCTTCGGGCAGTTCCGTACATCATTCTTGTTTGGAAATTGCAGGCAATAGTGCAAGCTAAATTATTTTAGGGTGATTCGCAATGCATTTTTTAGGCTGATGTGGCACTTTTAGTATACTTTAAAAATAAAAACCAATTGTGTAAACAGACAACATTGTTATAGTTTCAGCAGTATGCCTTGCGAGATGGTTATTCGAAGGATTTGCATATGTTGATATTTTTTTACTGTACAAGACGAATTTACTGACATTATTGCCAGTATGGGGTTCTACAGATATTTTGTCATACTTGGACCGCGCACGCTTTAGTACAATGCGAGTAGAGGAAGCGTTCGATTCCTGGACACGCCTGTACACTGGCAAAAATGTGAAAGTTAGAAAATAGGCGATCCTTTACCCACTCACTCGCACGAACACAATGGGACTACCTGCTGGGCCTGCCCTATCATCCGTTAGTGACGAATGATAATGTGGTTTACTAAAATAAAAACTACCAATACTTGTTGTTTATAACGTTTGATAGTGATAATGTTATGAAAATAAATACACATTCACAGGGAAAACAAGAAATATACAACGTAAAATATACTCCCTAAGAAATTTATGGAGTTGAGAAAAATCAACAGTGTTTTTACATTAAAAAGGGAAGACCGCCTACTTGCATTTAAGACAATTATACGAATATGCCTCACATTAGGGCCTATTTGTAAGTTGTAACGAATTTGATTAAAATAACATTTCACTCATGGATACAAAAATACTTACCCACTTTAATACAATTTACTAAACAACACGCGTTGAAATCGTTCAACGTACATACCGTTTTTATTACATGAACTGTTCTTTTATACAATCTTAGACATACAAGTCGTTTAATATCAATTTCATTTAAAAATTAATTTAAAGATTAGTCAAACTTGTTGTAACTTACGTTAGTACATATCGGTTTAGTCGAATTTACATTTTTGGAAATTATTTTTAAAACTCTTTAAAGCAATTGAAAGACTAGCTACTAACCAAATGTTAAAACTGTTCATATGTTGTTTAGAAAGATTATTTTGTTAAAACTGTTTTGAAACGTATGTTAGTCAAATCTTAGATTTAAAAAATGGTTGATATAATTATTAGGATCTTTGATAAAATTTTAATCGCTCAAACAAACATTCTTAGGAAAAAGCTTCAAACTGATTTTTAAATAACGATAACTGTAATAAAACTTATATCTAAACATTGTTAAAAATGGTTTTAAAATAATTCAATCTTGTAATAAAGTTATATCAATGACTTGTACTACAATTGTTTCAAAGTGGCATAGCAAGCTATAGTGAAGGTCAGGTCAGACCCGACCAAACCCGACAAACATTCAGCTGTTATGATTTATGATGGATATGGAGTCGAGGAAGGGCTACGTTACTATCTTGCTCGGTTCCTTGCGGTTATTCAGTGTTTTTTTTACACTGTGTGTTGTTCTCGAAGCCTAGGTTTAGTTCTGTGAATAGAGCAAGAGCACGTAACTCCCCTAGTGGCCACCGATAGTGGCGCTACCGCATCTCACGTATTGCAGGCGCTGCCAAAAGGCGAAATTTTCGCTGGCTCCAGCCGGCTCTTAATGTGCGTTTCCATGCATAGCTATTCAAAAATATTTCAGTTCCAACCCAAAGTTGAGGCTTATGGCAGAAAAACTGTAAGCGACTTGATGTTAGGCAGCTCCTTATAGCTTGTGGAACGTGAGCAACGTGACCAATGGTAGGTTAAGGAGGGAAGGACATGTTGTTTAAGATATATTTCCAGAAACTATCCATAACCATAAGTAAAAAAAAACCCATGACTGGGTTTGTGTAAAAATCTTTTTATATTTTAGAAACTTTATCGACTGAGGATGGGATCAAATTCAAGATCCCAAAGGATGTGAAAACTTTACTTTTTAGTTTTTACTAATCGTGACAGAAAATGTTCATAGTAATTCCTTAAAAAGCATAAACTCACTGTCACAAAAAATGAAATTTTTGTTTGGGCAGGAAATGTGTGGAAAGTATAAGAACGATAATCAAGAGTGTTTTATTCAGATGTAAAAGAACAAGACCACTTGACAGACCAAGTAAAAATTGTCCAGTATCAAATTTAAAATATTCGCCTGTTGGGTCTGATAATGATTGGAGTGTCCAATCGAAATCGATCACCACTTACCATCTTTTTTGTATATTTACCGTCTTGTAACAGTATAAGCGTGAATAAATGTTTTAAGTGTTATAAGACGTTTCTTTTATTTACTTTCCGTAAATTTAATAACACGTAGGCCTACAATGCTGATCAAGAAGTTATTCAATAAATAGGTCAGTAATTATTTAAAATTTAATTACAAGGTTATATAGAGTGCCTACTTGTAAGGATTAGCATAAAAGTATAGGGTATCAGACAAAGTAATTGAGCGGCATGTTTTTATTAGCAGGCATCCATTCATTAACTGTCTAAATAAGTTGGATACCATTATATATCTAGATCCCTCTAAACTACGATATGATGTTTCAATATAACATATTATTCATATGAACAAAAATAATATCAAATTTAAAACCTACTAATTAACTACTGAAACAAAAGTGGTCTTACTTGTTCTACTGCAGATTTATGGAAGTCGAAATTCACAGGTTTGGGTCCAGGAGATGAAACTGAGCTTGTAGGTGAATCAACAAACTTGGTCCACTGAAATAAAAACAATGATCGTAAAAAACTAGAGCACACATTTCACACTTGCTGGCATATATCTATTTCTACACTAGTTAGTAATGATAAGAATCCCAAACTCACACTGGAATACATTTTTTATACCTAAAGACATAATGTTTTAGGGAAAAACACCAAAATTATACATCTACATTTTACCAAACTATGCTAACATCTACATTTACACGGATCTTTACATTATTACAGTTATTTAACATGCGTGAAAGACTAACATACTCTAACGCAAAATATTAACCACCGACAAAAAGTGCTCCTCATATTTCATTGGGTGATTAATAGTTAGCCAACTAGGGTTGTTCTACAACTTAATCCTCTTCAGCTTTGGAAAAATTGGAGCTTTGATGCTGAGTGTAGATATTATGAAACAATAATAGTCTATTCCAAACAAGCAACTTGTTAACATTTAACCCCGTAAACAGGATTTTTAGACTGTGTGCTGGATTATGACGGGATGTCGGATAAAACGGGATATGTGGCTCTCACAACAGTTTTTCTTTTTTATACTGATGTTCTAAAAAAAACTAACCTATTGACAGATTAAATGTTTCTATCAATAAGTGCAAGGTTTAAAGAGGAATTTAAAAACTATACACCAAAAAGTCCACTTGCAATAGAACTGGAATATACATGTGGGAGAAAAGGGGAGTTTTTGTTGTATTAAAGCAAGATATAACGGGATCTTCTCGTCCCGGAAAGCAGGATTTTTAAATTTAACTCCTGGACACACTAGTTATGTGTTGTTGTGGTTAGTTTGTGTTCTGTTGGTTTGGTTCTGAATGGTCTGGTTAATGCCATAGAGTTGTTGGGGAGAATTCTAGAGGTTCTAACACAATCGAGGTGTTGGAGCATGAGATGTTTAAGAAAGTCTCGGAGAGAAGATAGCCTATAGAGGTGGGGTTGAATTGTCTTGATTTAGGTTCCAAAAATAAAGGTGGGTAGGCTAGTTGCAAAGTCCGCCTTTCAACAGCAGTGTTAGGCTGACATGAGTGCTTTGACTAATGATTGTACTTGCCTCTTTCCCCCGGTGTGGTGAGCTGGTTGACCCAGCCGTGCTGAGAGCTGGACTAGACGCGCGTGAGCCGGTCACGCTGGGCAGTAGAGCGGGCGGCAACACGTCCGGTAGCGGGATGTTATTTCTCCTCAACACCACCAGGTGCATTGCAACATTGAATTCAGCCAGGGACAGCGCACCATCTTTCGTCACATCCGCTAGTTGCCTGCAAAATGTACATTAAAACATCAGAAAGTTTGTGGTTCAGGTAATCATTGTGTTAAACTGTAGTTCTGGGCGAGTCAGTGTTCTTTATTACAAAATGTATGATTAAACTTTTGCGATTCCTAAATAAACAAAATTTTAGAACAGGCTAGCTAAAAACCATTTGGCTTAGTAAAACATATAGCCTATATACAAAATTATAACATACTATCAGCAGTGTTACTACAGAATTTATTGTAAACCAATAGTTTTACATTTTAGTAGTTACTTTCATTCAGTTTTGTTGTAAGGGTTGAAACAGGGAAAATAAATGCTCCATGTTATTTTTATGGAGAGTAAATAAACTGTTGTAGTTACAATTTCAAACTAAGCTACCAACATAAAAAATACCCCCGCCGCAGCAAACCTGCAGACTAAGCGAATTTCCATTGACCTGATTGGATTTACACTAAAATGCCTCCATAAAAATAGCACATTTATTTCCTATTTAAATAGAATTAGTTTAACAAGTACCTTAGGTTTGCTGCAACAGGGAGGGTAAAAAAGATTTTTTTATGAAATGATAATAGTTTAGTAAGAAATAAAAGTATTTTCCAAAATCGATCAAAATATGTTCATAAACAAGCAAACTGCAACAGTCGACTTATTCTCCATAAGAATAACATGGGAATTTTAAAATTACAATTTTTTTGAATTTTCTCCGTAACAATTAGGCGCATAATAACGCTTCAATATACTAAATTATTTGTTTTTTTAAGCTCTACAAAATGGTTTAAAAAGAAATTGTGAAATTTTGTGTTTTTAGGGGCAAAAATGGGAAACACCTATCTTTACCCCATAAAACCCCCCATAAACCCCCGTTCCCATAGTCCGATCATGCTGGTTCGCGAACTCATTCAAGTTTATCCCGCCTTACACCTTCAAACCAAATTTTATCAAAATCGGACAAAAATTACTCAAGTTATCGTGCGGATGGACACATATATATATATATATATATATATATATATATATATATATATATATATATATATATCTATATATAGATATATAAAAATTTGAACGAATGGTGTTTTTGGCCTCTGGGGACATCAAAATGAAAAAGTAAATCGGTCCCGGGCTTAGGTCTTACCATGAGACCTACGGTAATAGCTACTTCCCTATAGGGAAATTCGCTAAAACAAAAAAAACCTTTCTACCTTCCCTCTAGCAGCAAACATAAGTAAGCATCTTACTCATTAAAACTTATGTTATTTAAATGGGGAGATAAATCTGACAATTTTACAGGAATATTATAGTGAAAATCCAGCCAGGTGAGTTAAACGAAAATTTGCTCATTCTGCAGGTTTGCTGCGGTGGGGGTATAGTTTATTAGATGATTTTCACACAGTACCTAGCCTAATGGGGACTCAAAATATGGTATGTGCTTCAAGCTTTATGAAAAGCTCGTAGAAGTCGTAACTAACACTCGCGGACCGCTGCCAGATTATATGTGTTTGCCAATCGAGATTTGTAATATAATAGGCCTACCATATTTTGCGGAGTTCCTGCACAGGCAGTTTGGACTTCTCAAAGAACTGTCTGGCCGTGGGTCCTGGCAACAGACAGCTAGGGTCGGGCTGCAGGTTGCAGAACTGTGTCCTGTAGTACTCTTGTTGTTCCTCATTGATAGTCCACACCTCCTTTGGTATCTCATCTTCTCCGTCGCTGCTGTGGCGGTCAGATGACTCTTCTTCTGTGCCGAGCAGCTGTCTTTGCTCTTCTGAAACTGTGCAGGGCAGTTAAAGATCAAATTCATTTCTGTTACTTCACAGTATTCCTAAATACATGAATAAGCAAGTAGATAATAGGCTATTAGGTGAGTAGTGGATTATTACGATAGGCAAAATTATGTGCTAGTTTCAATTTTAGAATGTAACTTAATCATCTCAATTGGTAGGTACATATGCTATTCCAATATTCACAAATTAACTGCACACGATTTTAATACTTAATAGAGGTTAAAACTTAAAATACCTATTTAATCCGTCAGTGTGATCAATGTCACCGATGAGCGGCGACCGGTTTCAACCCAGCAGCGATAAAAGAAGACTACACTTAGAAGTGAACTACTTAGAAGTAGAACTCCACTTAATGTATTTAAGTGTAGTACTTCGTTATGTATTCATAGACTTTTTGACAACCTTTTTGGAGTGAATTTATGTTCTTTTATTGGTTGAAGATGACCCCATTTCCGGGTTGAAACAGGTCGCCGCTCATCGGTGACATTGATCACTCTGACCGATTACAGGTATTTTTAACTCTAGTATTATTTTAAATTTGTGATCAGGAGGCAAAGACACCAGAAATACATGATTTTGGGATTCTACCTAAAAATGTACAAACAAATCTATTTAATATTCACTACCGTACTCTAATTACATAGTAACTCCTGTAACAGTCTGAAGTAAGTTATGGTTCCCATTGTAATCATTGATTAAATCTAGGCCTATGTCTTATTATTTATTTCCTAGTAAAAATGGTGAGCAATTCTGTAGATATGCCTAGGATTTCTATCTCATTTGGCTATTTACCAGAGTGTGGTTATCCTACATTGTTATTTAAATTTTAGTTTTTTCCCCAGAAATGGATTTAATTTATTTTAATTTAAATTAGGTCTAGTTATTTTTGTTGAAAATCGTAAAAAGAATATGTTTGGCTATTAAATTTGAAATACTTTGTTAGGTAGGCTACACATTTAGGTTTAGTTCTTAGCTAGAAACAAATAATAGGTTTAGAACTGGATTTCATGGACACATTAACTTCATAAATTACATTTTTTCTTCACACTCTATTATGATAAACACTCCCGTAGCATCCTTTTAGAAACCAATGAGAAAAATCAATGCTTCACTTTTTCATGATTGATTTGTAGCAAACGGATTGATGTTTTAATTAATAATTGTAACTTACGTCAATCAATCCAGTTGTGTATTAGGGACGTACGTTTTGACCTTTAGGCCATCTTCAGCCCCGCTACTACGACAAAATACTCATTACTCATTGAGTGCCGCCGCAGTCCCGAGCCCGTTCAGCCGTGCGCACGGTGATAGTTTTATTAATATGTGTTCGTCTTCATCAATGTCATATTTTTGTGTTTTTTATGTTCTTTTTTGTAAATATTTGACGTGGTTGCTACACCAACTATGCAACTAAGGATGGAACAACTTAGTCTAACAGCGGGGCTGAAGATGGCCTAAAGTTCGAAACATACGTCCCTCCAATACACAACTGGATTGATTGACGTAAGTTACAATTATTAACTTCACTTTTTGCTTAATTAAGAAGATACAACAAAGTTGCTTAACAGTTAAAACAAATATATAATAGGCTAGTCCTAAAAGTCAAATATATATTTTTCATTCCAATGAGCAGACCAGTAAGAATCACTAAGATTTCAACTTACCTAGACCTTGCCAATGTGAGGGCCAGTTTTTCTCGTGGACACTGTTTGTTGGGGTCGGGGAATCGCTTGCAGTGCTAGACGCTTCAGGAGAGCCAGTAGTTGCCTCACTTGACACTTGAATCAGTCCGTTTTCTCTTATCGGCTCAACAATCATGTTTTGTGATTCGGTGGTCATCATTTGCAAGCTAACATATTATGCTGTAACACAACAAAATCCTAAATGTGGCATGATTATAGTGTTTGATACAAATACAATGTTTTGTAAGATTGTTGGCGTGATTTCAAGATTGCTTCATTACTTTCATGTTAAGTACTCACCTTTAGGCTACCTGTAAAGTTACGTATGGGTTGACACAAGGTGTTAGTGAACCGACATCAAAGTTCATAGGATTTAAAATGAAAAGTGACTCAGGTTGTAAACAGGAAAAGAGCATTCGTCATTCTTAAATATTCCCTTTTTCCTTGACTGAACAAATTGGATAGTGTGTCGATGGTTTGACAAAACTAACATTGATTAGGCTCTACATTTACCTACTAACTTATATTTACGTATCAACACGTTTGCTACCTATCGTCAACTATAGTAATATTTATTTATTAATTTAAGATTATAACTATCGTACTAATCATTTTTGTAATGGTCTTTGGCCGTTGGAATGTAAATAAATAAATAGTTGATGCCAGACTTTAAGTCACTGCCCTAACCTGCGGGTAAGATTTCCCTTTGGGACCAATGTTTTTTAAGCTAAACATACTCACAGACCAATGTTTTCTTTTTGCTTTTCTGATTACTGTAATTACCTAGGGTCTAAATAGGCCTAATATTTGCATTAATTTGCAATAAAAAATTCAGTCATGTATTTAATAAAAATTAGTTTTGTATAGTTGAAATTGGTCCATCGTTTATATCGTTGTATGTTTATTTTATTTTATTTTACCAACGGACAACTCCATTTTTAAATGTATGTAGCCTATCGATGTCTTTATCTATTATGTAGTAAGTTATTTCAATGATTAAAAAAAAAACACAAAAAAGGTTAAATAAGATAATAAACCACACACAAACTCACTTGAAGAGGACTGATTCAACTAACGCATCGAGACCTGTAGAATTTTATGTGTAAAAATTGCTACCAGTTGTACAGAAAAAAATCCCCCACATGGAAACCACAGCAAAAGCATATTTACGGACTATTCCATTAAGTTAACTTTTTCAAATAAAACATACTTTTTCAACAAGCCATAAAGTGTGTGTTTGTTGGTGTCCACAATACTTGGTGTCCAGTGAGTTCTGACCACACATCAACTATAGTTGACGCTGGTCCGTGGCAAAAATCCTTACGCTGGTCTGTGGTGAAGTAATTTTATGTCGGTAGTGACTTAAGTGACTTATGTGTTAACTTAAGTTAGGCCTAGGGTACTTACTTAGAAACACTTGGGAGATAAATTTGCTTGGGTGTATGTAAAATGTAGGGATCAAAGTCTTAATTTAAGATAGAGCAAACGGTATATGATGGAGATGTAATAATTGTAAAACTTTCTACTTTCTGAGGATGACTGATTACCTAGGCCTTTAAGTAAGTAACTTAAGTAGGATAAGGCCATGGGTTAAGATAGGTACTTGAAAAAGATCTTGGTGGATAATTTTTTGATTTTACTTTAGTTTTTTAATTATGGGCTTCTACAATTTATACCATCTACCAAGTATTCCTCAGCACAATCTTTGGATCAGGAAGTTGTCATATTTCTTCCTTGACGCAGGGGTCTTGATGCATAACTTGGTTTAACTTATTTATTTATTTGACGGTAACAACCATTTACAATAATTATTTAAATGAGTTAATATGCTGTACAGTAATTAACAAAACAATACATATATGATAGGTACCCTAAATTAAATTAGAAGGCTAACATTGGTGTGGTGCGTAATAACTTACATGAAATATTTTTTGTGACAATAATTAAAAAGAAAATATAAATAAATAGGTACCGGCAATAAATAGTACTAAGTTATGTGTTATGGTAAATGCTAAACTTAACGAAAGATAGAATTATTCTGAATGCCATACCATTGCTATTAATAGAAAATGCACCTGACTTGACTTATACTTCGGTTGCTCACGTGAGGTTCAACTTACATGAATGTATAACTTAGGCTGCACTTTAATTTACGTCCTACACTCGGAATCAAATTTCGATACATCAATTACCAGTTTCGATACATCAATTACCAGTATTTCATACAATATACCAAGTTTGGTTAGTAATAACCTAACAAACCAAATGAAATAATCGATATATCGAATAATCTATATAGCCTATTGATATTTTTCATTCCAATAAGTTAAGTGTAGGACGTACATTACTAAAGTGCAGCAGAATGTAGCCTGCGGTTTTGTAATATGGCCTGTTAATTAAGTGGTTGTTGATTTTATAGACCTAGGCCTGTTCTGGTAATGAATTGTAAAACTAGGCCTATGTGCCTGGTGTTGATGGGGGTATTGCTTTGGTTGTGTTTATTTCGGGTGTTGTACGTGTGTATATCTGATAGGAAATTAGAGAACTATGCTAAGTAGCTAACTTATAATGTAGGTAGGCCTAGGTGTAAGCCTAGCTTATTAATAAAGCAATAGTCATAACCTTACTTTTTAACACAGGTCAATCATTTGGATAAGGAATTAAAAAAAAAACATTAGCTTATAGTGTAAATCATGAATAATTTAGTAAACGATTTAGAATAATTACTAGCTAAGTAAAGTCGAATATAGTTTACGTACACACAGAATCCAGAACCGAAGAAGGGAGTTACTTCTCTCTTATTTTCTCTTCTCTCTTTTTCTTTCAATTCAATTTCAATAATATTTTGACGTCACTCCTCTGCTGGCAAAAAGCAAGATTAGTTCCAGTTTCGGTCCAGTTCACTCGGTTCAGTTTCAGTGACCAGGACTCTGTATTCGTATTCGTTCAATCGTGCATGGTGTTTCGGTTTCGGTATTCGGATTGAGTTTCGGACGTTGGCTAGGTCAAGCACACTAGCACAGCTGTTATAACTGAAATGTACACAAAATATGGCATTTTTGTTTACTTACAACTACGACCATAACCTCCTCGACCCTAAGTTAGGTTTCAGTTTCAAGTTTTATGAATAATGTTGTTTGTAAAAAAATACAGGGCTGTGTACAGATGTGCTATGATGATAATACAACATTGATTTAGATTTTGTTGTTTTTAGAAGGAATGTGATTTTTTCATGAGGTCGAAACCAAGATAAAGGACTCATAATAGTGTTGTATAGACTAGATAATCCCTAAAATGAAGCTGTACAAGCTAATAGTTCATACGAAAAATTTCAGTGGTAAGAATAATATTAATTATTTCTTGGCTAATAGGCTAGGCCTAGTTAGAAAGGCGAAACTTTGATAGATATACAACTTTATCTTATTAGCAAACATAAAAGTAACTTATCTGTCAATTCAATCGATAACCTAGGCCTAATTTAGACTAGGTATCTAACAATAAACCAAACTCTACAGCCTCACGATTAAAACAATCGATAAGACCATGGATTTGGATATCAAAGTTTTACCGCCAATGAGCATTTGTAAAATTGAGACTTAAATTGAAGTTGAATTTTTTGAAGAATCATTTATTTTAAATCACGGTAGGGCCTACCTACCTACCGGTACTTGAAAGAAAAAAAAAATCAACTGAAGTAGGAAACCCACTAATTCGTCACCGACCATTCTGTTGTTTTCCATCTCTGCCTGACTCTGACGCCTTCTGCCCTTTTAAATGAAATAGGCCAACCCATTGGTCTGTTGGGCTCTGTCAGCAACCGACGAGAAATACATGAGTCATCAGTTGCATGGGAGAGTTCTTTGGACTAGGAGATATTTGTGGCAGACATGTTGGGTACTGAAAGTACCTTAATTGTACTTTTTTATGGGGTGTATACAAATTCAGCGTTCCCTGGTAATTTTCCCTAGTAGGCCTAACTTAACTTAGGCTATTGCAAACACAAAATAAAATTAGCCTACCTGACATATTATCAAGTCATTCATTTCAATCTTTTCTTTATTTCCTGCCAGACCTGCTATCATGATAACTATAGTCATTGACTGTATAAAGAAAAGGATAGGCTACTCCTTACTGCTTCAACCCAAAGTTTGTCTAAACTCATGTCACCCCAGAAGGTTGAAAGTAACTAATCTAGGCAGGTGCACACAGACTGAAGTTAAACAATAGATTTGACTCTTGTTAACAATGCCACAGAGAGCAATAGACGGAGAAGGAGTTGAACGGAAAGAATCTGAGTCGACAAATGGGTTAGGCCTACAGTCAATTCAAAGACTTGCAATGCAATTTTTATGGAAGGCAACCGCCTAGTGTGTTTCCTTCTTTACACTTTTAAAAGCTAACAGTAGGCCTACTTAAAGTTTGAATTTAATTTATGAATAATCCTTATTTTAAGTTGATTGTCAATGATAGGCAACTTTATAATATTATTTTTTTTCAGTGGAGGACTTGATCATAAATCCTAAAGATTTCCCTACACTGCGTAAAGGCGATATTGTGGAAATCTATCATCCAGAAGACGAGTTCAGCCGTTTGCTTTTACAGATCACATCCTTCAAAGAGGACTTGCAGGGACGAGGTTAGTTCCAAAACAAAATACTTTTGTGCTCTTCAGGGTCCAACTGGGTCTCGTCACTAACATGGAGTTTTCGCTCTTGTGGGGCCAACACCAATATTAATGCTTTGTAACTCTGTGGATGACCGCCTGCAATGAGGTAAAAGGGTCAGGACGCAATGTCAGGAAAGACAGGTTCTACCATAGATTCTTAAAAGTTGGAGTAGGCCTAGACTAGTCATAATGAAAATCTGATACTGTACCTGTTTATATTTTTGTTCCACATCAGTCTTTGTTGTTTCTCTCATTTCAATACCAGGGGACAAGCAATCTTCTACTAAATGATGGTTGTATTTATAAATTGAAAGAAGTGTGCTTACCTCCGTCTATAAAGCACCACAACAGTATTGTAGTCCTTCTGCTGCGGCTGCAACCAACTGGTATGATAGTGCTATCTGCTTGTTTTGTGTCACGACTATTTCATATGTTTATTATTTTGTTCTGATATATGACAAGCTTTGACAGTAATGTATTTGCATTAAAACTAATCAGCAGCGTTTGTTTATGGAAATTTGTACTATATACCAATTAACCCTCCGAGTGTCATGCGTCGCTGCAGCGACGCGTAACGCACTTTGTATAGTGTCGTGCGTCGCTACAGCGACTCGCGAACACTGTTTACGGCGAAGGCTCTATGACTAACTGAATCGGACTGTACTGGATTGAGTTAGGTATCGTTCTTTCCGTAATATTCTAAGCTTTCTCCTAGGTCTGTCTCTAAGCACTATTCATTTTAGTTCCGAAAATATTGTAGCAGACAGCTGACTGAGCTGACGTGCGTGTATTTGTAAACGAACAGCTAGGTTACCCTCGGACCGATGACTGATGTGTTTTATTACATTTATCATTGTTTTAGTGTTAAAAATCAAAAGTAGTGATATACGTGGTGCATTATAAGAAGATTTAAGTGGTTTTGAAGTGCTGGTTGATGATCCTGAAGAAGTAGGTAGTGATATTGATGTAAATTATCAGCCAGATTCCTAGCTATGGTTGGGCTATGCATTCTTAGCTAAACGCTATGTACTGAAATCTGTTTTTTGCCCATAACTTATTTATTTGCAAATCTACTTCCTTATATTATTATATATTTGTAATCCTCATAAAATTTAGAACAAAGTGGCTATTTTCAAATATTTATAGGCCTATAATTTATACAATTTCATTGAGCGCAAAAATATTTTATTTTTTAAATTTTCGAAATTATAAATTTTTTTTTACCTAAAAAAATTTTTTTAAAAAAATCTTCCTTATGTTTTATATATAATATTGAAGCCCAAGATTTTCCAAACAAAATGGTATATAGAACAGTATAATTAACATTGTTTTTAAGCTTCTCAGATCAGTTTTAATAAAATCTTGCAAATGAGCAAAAAATAGGCTGACATTAAGGCCAAAACACGTGACACTCGGAGGGTTAAAGTAAAAAATCCCATATTTGTTCATATTCAGAGTTGACAGGCTTTGTTACTCTGTAGATAAAACCGTAAAAAAGTCATAAACAAAAAAAAAAATAATAGTTAGCTTAACAAAAAACGTCCTATCCATAAACCGAACATAAACATACTGTCCCCAACAACCATAGTTTCTTTCCCTCCGCTAGCACAGCCGCGAAGATTATTTATCCTGCATGCATCATTAGGGCTTCATCTACTATAAGCCTCTCATATTTCTGTCCATGTTTTATTTGTTGAGTCAAGTTTATTATAAACTAGCTGGCCCAACAGACTTCGTCCTGTCCTAATGTGGTTTTATGTCAAATGCTCGTTCATTTTCAAGATGAGCTCGTTCATATGGCTCAATCACGTCCTGGTTGAAGTTCGTTCGCTACGCTCACTCACCTTTAGGTTGGAGCTCGTTCGCTGCACTCACTTGCCTTCAGGTTAGCTCGTTCGCTACGCTAACTCACCTCCGGGTTGAAGTTCGTTCGCTACGCTCACTCACCTTTTGGTTGCAAATTAGCTGTTGTCATAAATAAAAAAAATAATAGTGCTGCACCCTGTTGGTAAACCTATTAAATTTGTAATGCTATTGAACATTACAGAATCAAATTGTTTAGTTGAACCAGCTGTTAAGATTCTTTAATTCCATTTAAATATGAGTACTCATAAGGTTAACATGGAATACTCCAGAGCCACTGCGGCAGAGCCCTTTTGACGGATTTGCACCAAACTTCACACAAATCATCCTTGAATAATGATTAATAATACCTGAAAGTTTCATTACGATCTGTCGAGCAGTTTCGGAGTCCATAAAGGACAAACAAACAAACAAACAAACATACATATACAAACATACATTGGATTTTATATATACAGATGAGTGAACCATTCGGATCGTGTCATTAATTGTGGTGTTCTTGATGTTTCAAGGGTATTTGTTTCTAAACCTATTTCTAAAATCTTGTACAGAGTCTCTTGTTGGTAAGAGAATGAGGTCACCATGTTTGTAGTTATTAACAATGTAGGTGGGTTTTCCACACCCTGGCACACCCTGGACAAGATTTAGATTAATTTTGCCTATACTGTCAATTTTTATTTTTTTAACACTGTTGAAGAGACGCAAGTCATTTAACAGTTGAGTGTCGTCTGATACAAGTATGTTGGAGTTTATAATGATGTTATTCGGAGCAACTGTGTATTTTCCATTTTCATCTAATTAAGCTCAATTAATCCGTCGAAGCCAAACTGATGGTTATTTTTATTTTCTTGATTTTAACCAGTTCATGGGTCTATTCAAGGTAACCCAGAGGCTAACACGATCATAAATCATGATCAAAAAATGAAAGTAGTTTTTAGCTTTTAGGAAATGGAATGGTTAAACTAAGTCTTTACTATGATTAGGCCTAAATTTCTTTTTGTTTTATCCAGAAACTATCAGTGTGGAGCAGAGCATTGCCACTACGTTTCAACTAAGGACGTACAATGATGTGCACATGAATGTGGTCAGTCCTGATACTGTGGCGTTGGACTCAGTAGAACTCATCTTCAAAGACCAATACTTGGGCCGTAGTGAGATGTGGAGACTCAAAAAGAGTTTGGTAAGTTCAGCCATTGTTGAGATTTGTTACGATTTGTGTCCTTGTGTTTGAAGAAACACTCATAACACTCTTGAGGTAAAATAAAAACTGTATAAACTGTATAAAACTGTATAAAAATTATTCCATTTTACAGTTGTTTTAGTAATTTATTTTGAGTTAATTAAAACCTTGCAAAAAACTACTATTATAGTCGCTGCCACTACAGAAACCACCTACTGCGACTTTTATAGTCACGCTGCCAGTTGGGGGATTGACACTATTGTAATTCTTAATGAATGAACAATAAAGAATATTGTATTGTATTGTATTAAAATTTAGAAACTTTGGGTTAGCCTACTTTTAAATTATATAGGCATTATTAAAAATTGAAATGATTTCTTCTTAAACATTCCAAACATTTGTCGAAACAACCTGAGCAAGGCTGGCTAAAATATGTTCAGCCGTTATTGAGTGATAAAGTTTTAATGAAGCCGATCCCAAAGAGCTGCAATTTGCTCCGCTCAAAACTTTCTAAAAATAAAAAATAAACGCTTTGAGATACCTTGTATTAAATCCACATACCGGTGTCAAATTTAATGAAAATCTGTCCATGGGCGTAGTCTGTAGCTTTGTATACATGCACACAAACACATACATTACTTTGCAAACTACTTTTTTGGGTTCAGGGGGAACCAAAACAAAAATTTCACAAAATTTCACAGTGGCTTAACACTAAATGTGGGGTTCCGCAAGGGTCAATACTAGGCCCCTTGCTATTTTTAATATTTATTAATGACTTACCTCGAAATGTATCGTCTAACCTTATCTTATATGCTGATGACACTACAGCAATAGTTAAATCAAATAATTTGCAAAATCTCAAACAAGAAATCAGTCTTTCTATTCTTAATTTATCTAATTGGTTTACAGCCAACGGGCTAAAACTTAATAATTCTAAAACACAGGTGATGTTATTTCAAACAATTCAGAATAGGCAAAACTCCACCGTTGAATTATCTTATGATAATAATATTATATCCTTTACTGAAAATGCAAAATTTTTGGGTTTAGATATCGATAAGAATTTAACATGGAAAACACACATTAAAATGGTAGTTGGTAAATTAAATACGGCTTGCTTTCAAATGTATGTTTTGAGAAATGTAATAGATTTAAAAACTAAACTCACAGTGTACTATGCAATGTTCTTTTCTGTCTTGCAATACGGGATTGAATTATGGGGAGCAACTTCTTATTCTAAAGCAGTTTTCAAAATTCAGAAGAAATTTATAAGGATTTTATCATTTATGCCTAAAAGAACCTCATGCAGAGCTTTATTTGCTAAATATGAGATATTAACTTTGCCTTCACTTTATATATTTAAAATGATGGTGAATTTTAAAATTAATTATCAAATGTACAATGATAAACAAATCAGTCAGCCATATCTTACACGCTCAAAAAATTTTCAATATCCAAGACATCGCCTTTGTTTATATGAAAGATCTCCTTATTATATGGGATTAAGGCTTTACAACAGTCTACCCACTAATTTCAAAGAAATTAACAGTATTTCAAAATTTAAAAATGATTTCAAACAATACCTTTTACAGAAAAATTATTATAATATTTCCGATTATTTAAATGATAAGTAAATATATTTTAGTTTAAGCTATGTGGATTTTAGTTTTGTTATGTAACTTAGTGTTTAAGATCTCTGACAATATCACCTGTTTCACCAGCTAACGCTGGATCTGTGAAATGTTTTTGTGATAATAAAGTAATATTTCATTTCATTTCATTTCAAACAAATATTTCCCCCTAAAAAAATATACTCAAACTAAAAAATGTTTGACAAAAACAATACTCCATATACTGTGTAGGCTATAGGGGGAGGAAGTAAACAAATAAAACCTAAGATCTTGCTTTTCATTTCACAATTCTGCCAGTCCATGAACCTAATTTTATAAAATGGATGCTGGAGTTGCCATTCAGAAAGTCATCTCTTGAATGCTTTGGGGGACAATCACAATGTGAAAAGCTTAACTCCGGTGTAAGATGGCTTCAGTTGGAAACTTGACTTGTGATTTCTGGTAAGTTGAAGCCTTGAGCATTTCTTGTGTTTTGATCGTGATTGTTGACATTGCGTTGCAGGTTCCTGGAGACTGCAAACAAATCACTTCAAGCATATGGAAACATACTAGATAATAACCCTCTTTAAAGAAACTCCTAAATTAATTTGATTTTTTACAGGTGAACACTTGTGTTTACTTAAACAAGAAGATAGAGTTCTGTGGAGGTAGTGTCCGCTGTCAAGTGTACGAGATGTGGGCAATGGGAGACAAGGTTGCTTGTGGGGTGATCACTGAGGACACCAAGGCCAGTAATGGACTTTTATAAATCAAATAATTGATCAATAAATTAAAATTATCTTATGACAAGTAGTAGAATTTATCCGATTATCTGTTGCACAACTAGACTATTTAGTTTATTTCTTTTGTAGACTCCCTCTTATCCGGACACCTTTTAACCGGACATCGGTTTAACCGGACTACACACTGCGGAAATGACATCTCATTAATCGGAAAATTTTTATCAGCAGATTGGTTTAACCGGACTAGATTGGCAGGAAGTGGGCGGTACTGAAACAATCTTTCGTGGGAAAGATTTGAGACCAGTGATAACATGTCTAAATACGTAATAATCATTATTGGCTTATACACTATGCATTTAAACGGTCCGTTTTAACGAGTTTTTGGGGACGTCAGTTTAACCGCAAAACCGATAACCGGACTGGCCTCGATCCCAGAAGTACGGATAAGAGGGAGTCTACTATTCTCTTATGACATGCATACAAGTATTTAAGAGAATACATAATTTATATTGCTTCAGAATTTTTTTAAGTTAGTCTAACTCTTAAAAAAATGTTGGTAGAAAGGTATTGGAATGCCGTAATCCTATGTACCCTTCCAAAGCATTGTTTGTCTGTACGATATGTATATACGGTGTGTGTTTTTGACATTTTAATAAAATGAAAATTCGTTATTACAGGTTGTCTTCAGATCTTCTACTGCAATGGTTTACTTGTTTATACAGATGAGTTCAGAAATGTGGGACTTTGATATTCACGGAGACTTGTATTTTGAGAAAGCTGTAAATGGCTTTCTTGCTGAGCTTTTCCAAAAGTGGAAGGTAAATAAAATTTCAAATTATTTGTCTGCATATCTAACTACACATACATATACTCTTCAATTATATCCGGTTCATAGGCATAGGTCATAGGCCTCCATTTTCGTTTATCCCACTCTAAATTTAATCTTTTTCTATCATTTACCTGATGTTGACCATGAATGTAGTAATTTTTAACTAAAAACCTGAACTTAACTTGTTTTAGTGGATGTATATAATACCACAAATATAAAACAAGATTATTCATCTGCACCAACAAATACCTCTTCATATTTTTCCAATCCCTCACATCTACCCCAATTGCTCCTTTCTCTTCAAATTTCCTTTCAATTGGTTCCAATCATGTTTACAGTGTTGCCTTCCTCTTGAACTCTTTCCTTCAGTTTTTTTATTACTTGTTTACTACTTATTTCATCGCAGCTCTTTCAAAATGTGCCCACCCCTTCTAATCCTTCTACATACAGCCATTTTCAACATTAATGTTAATATCTTTAAAAATATGCTACAGAAACATGGAAGTAACCATGAGGTGACAATCGTGCTGTTCTCTCGTCTCTTCTACTCGGCTGTAACTATTGAAGACTTCCCCTTACATATGAGGAGATGTTTGCAGCAGGATTACAAGGGGAGATTCTATGAGGACTTTTATAGGTAGGTTTGTGCTCAAAAGGTTTGTGTAAAACGGGGAATAGGTAAAGACTACATTTTAATGATTTTCTAAAGGTAAATTTCCGTTTAGAAGTCTCAAAAACTCTTGGGAATAAGCTAATGTAATGTACTTAAGCTAATATCAAAGTTCTTTCCTATTTAAATTATCCCATGTTTATTTATAAAGCAAACAACAGGCTTGTCAAGTTAACAAGGGTGTCTTAAAATCATGTTTTCTTACATTTGTATATCTTTATTAAGTTTTCCCTGTGTTTTTAGGGAGTGTTTGGGGAAAAATACTGTTCATCCAAGTTATCTGCAAATTTGAATTCGAAAGTCAAAATTCACCGATCGAATCTCATACTAGAGTTTTTTTTTCAAAAATTCAGTGGATTAGTGATTTGACTTCGACCCATCCCTACAAAATATTGTACCGTACCAAACTGTACCGACCTGTACTGCAGTTAAACTCACATTCATTCATCAGGGTGGTTATTCAGAACGAGAGGTATGACGAGTGGGGCCACGTCATGATACAGTTGCGGCGGATGTTCACGGACTACCAACGTACCATGTTGGACTACCACTCAAGAAGCAGCTCGGACTGCCCCAAGGCCAGTATATCTACAGCAGCTCAGGGGAACTTCCTGGAAGTGCTGAACATTTCACTCAACGGTAACCATAACTAGTTATTCATTAACATTGTGAGATCCTTGATGAGGCAGTATTTCTATTTGAATGCCCAACAACTTTCATTGATTTTACATGGTGTCTGTTGGAATATGATTCATTTTTGCTTATACATAATACAAAATAAGAACATCGCACAACATATTTAACCCAAGCGGGTTGCACTATGGACCAGTGTGTTTCAGAAAACCAGTTTCATAAAACGAGAAACTTAAGTTGCTTGTTCAAGATTAACAATCAAGATTCAACTGTTAATCAAGATTAACAGTGTAACAATTAACAACCTTAAAAAGCTAGAATTAAAGGGACTTACAATGAAGTTTGGGCCTACAGTAAAGTGGAAGGATTAATTTAAAAATGTAGACCTATTAGCTTTAAATAACTAAAAGTTGAATTTAAAAAAGGCTCTCTCTCAGGGTAGGTTGTCGTGCTGGCTTGAATGCAACGATTAAATGAATATAATAATGTCCAAATAAGGTGTAACTAACAATACACCAACAATGAATTTAAATTTTGATGTTATCCAAAAGGTAAAACCAAAATGTCCACTGAATTGAATAGGTTTAAAAAGAAAAGGTTTACTTAAGTTTTAAAGATAAAGTTGAAATTATGCCCTCTTGAGGTGTAAATTAATTAAATTTTCTTGAAGAGATTAACTAGATAAAATCTTTTTCAAAAAAATGTAGTTAGCTCCTCTGCACATTCCCCTACCAGGTCTAATAACGCCATCCATACATAGGATTGTGAGGGCTGGTAGGCAAAATGTTAATAAAAAATCAAAAAAATTCATGTGAATTTCTTGGGGCACAGTTTTGACTGGGTGCATCCTTTAATAAATATTAGTAGTCCTGAATACTGTAGCGATCTAATGCTTGTGACATTTGTGTTGCATATTCTTGAATCACAGTTTTGACTGAGTGCATTTTAAAAACATATATAACCAACCAACAAGCGTTCACATTGGTGGGTGCATTGTTAACCTAGCAATTCAGACTTAAACAGAGGATGGAATCAATCTATATACACAACAATTGGGTGGGTTTGGACATAGACAAAAAGAATTAAATATAGACTGTCAGCCGTGTTGCGGTTACCATGGTTACCATACGTTTCGGCGCACACCGCTGTAGTTTACGTAGCGCGTACGCCGTAACTACATGGCGCTGCAAGCGGTGTGTGCCAGAACCTATGGTAACCGCAGCACAGCTGACGGTCTATATTTAATTCTTTTTGTCTATGGTTTGGACCACTTTCCATTGAAAGCATTTGTGAATCTTTCATAAAAAATGCAACTGGCGTAAAGCGTAACCTAAATGTTTTAAGGATTTTTCTAAGGGTAGCAAGCTAATATGATTGAAATAAGAGTTGAGTTGTCATTGTCCATTGAACCTGAAGATCTTTCTCTTCCTATCTTCTTACATTTCATGGTTGAAAATGCTACCAGTGAAATATTATAACTTTTGTAAATGATCTGTGTTTCTTATGCTGGAGTGGACTCTTTCGCATTCATGTAAGCCTACTGCCTGCTATACTAACCTAGGCCATTGTGCTGTATGTTATCCTTAACCTCAACAATTCAAATGTGTTTGCAGTGTTTGAGAAGCACTTCCTGGAGCGAAGTTTCGATCGTACAGGTCAGCTGGTGGTGGTGATCACTCCAGGGGTGGGAGTGTTCAATGTTGATCGTGAGCTCACCAATGTCACCAAACAGAGGATCATAGACAACGGTGTGGGGTGTGACCTGGTGTGTGTGGGGGAGCAGCCCCTCCACGCCGTGCCTTTACTCAAGGTGAAACAAAATATACTTGTCGTATTTAACAATTTTGTTGTATAATCTTGTTGGGTGAGTCGGTGGCTCAGTTGGTAGCGTCACGGACTTCGGGCCCAAGGTAGCGATGTCGTGGATTCAGATCCTGGTCACTGCCGTAAACATTTTATCAGTACAGTTCACCTTTGTAATGTACTGGCACACCCCTTGCTTTGCTGGTTACGTTCCACGCACAGATATGTACTCTATGTGGACAGGCAAATCCAAGGCCAACCTCTTTTATAAAAAAAAGATTATTGAAACTTGGTAGTTTTTACAGTGCTTAGTTAAAATGTAAAGGTTAGTTTATCTTTGTAATATGGACATCAAGAGTTTAGGATACATTTAATGAGACATTAGTCATGTTGATATAAATCTAATTAAGGTTCTTTGATAGACGAACACACTGTTTTCTAAACTTCAGCCTTAGTATTTCCTTTTTCTGTGCCGCTTGACAATATTTCTCATTGTGTTATGGGTATGATGTATGCTGTTTAATATATTTTAGAATCTACCAACGGGTCCGGTTTTGTTCCTGCAAATCCGTCGTCCTGAACTGACATGGAACTTCATGAACGCAGCAGTAGCCTGAAAGTAAAAATATTTTCATCCTCAGTGACTCTAAAAGTGCTGTTTCCAATGCATACCAGGACATTGTGGACTGCAATGAAAAAAGAGACTGATCGAATTAATAAAGCAGCCGCATGCATGTACCGTATACTATCAAGACTCTATCACTGTTTTTTTGCGTCTTTTAACCTTGCACTTGCCTGTCCACATGGACTACAGATCCAGCAAAGCAAGAGGTGAGCCGGTACAGTACAAAGGTGAACTGTACTGATAACATGTTTACGGCAGTGACCAGGATCCGAACCCATGACATCGCTGCCTTGGGCCTAAAGTCTGTGATGCTACCAACTGAACCACCGACTCACCATTAGGTTGCATAGCCAAAACTCGCAAGTTATAGAGAGACAGATTGATAGAGAGGTGGAATGACGTACCAACTAGTTACCACCATCACTCCCTCCTCAAAGCACCTATATCTGCAAAAACACACATATGTCCTTGTCAAATGTTGCTTCAAGTGCCAGAGTAGGGCACATTACAACCCTATCTTATCTCGTTCGCTTCAAACTTGCTGAGTCGCCGTTGTGTCTGGTGTGCCAATTGGAAGAAGAGACTTTGCAGCATCTCCTCCTTCACTGCCCCATCAAGTTGGACGCGTAAGTAGAAGGTCCAACTGATTGCACTCTTAGCCGAACTTTGACTGATCCCAACTTCCAGAGACTAGCCAGCTATATTTATGAGACACTCAGTGTAATCAGTTGCACCTGGAAGCTAGATGCATCTACCAAGAAGTAAGAATTAATCTGTCAGCTTCAGATTCATCAAAAGAAGGTGTAGAATCTAGCGTCTAATCTATCTTAGGTAATTTCTGATCAGTACCTAAGTCATATTGTAGATAGTCAGTCTTCCCGTTCAAGTTAGACGTGAAGCATCACAATATTCTTACTTCGACTTTATTTAATTTATGTTCATAAGACTACAGCCTATTCATTTACCCATGAAATAATTTGTTTCAGTTCAATAACAAAGATGCCACAACTATCGCAGATGATTATAGCATGCCTCACTGGATCAATTTAAGGTACTATGCATTGATATTACTTTCATGGTCTGCTTTATTGATGGTTGAAGTCAAGAATTTTTAATCACTGAATTTTAAATTTGATTCTGAATTTTGGTTAGTTGATCCAATCAAATCCAATTAATATTCCCAAATTCTTTGATCTTAAACAGTTACTATGGGGTTTTTCCTGCCCAAAAAGGCTCTGTTTTGTTGATGCAAGAAAGCACCCAAACTTAACTTAATATGTGATTGAATTCTCCAATCCATCCAATTGAATCTACATTGTAAGACTTGTAGAATGTACATTTAAAGTATATTTTGTAAAAATATTACAGCTGTTAACTTTTGAGATTATACATAGGCTCATGTATAAAATTGATATCTAACGTTCTCATAAGTATACATTATTTGCAGCTTTTTCTCAAGCAACAAGAGAGTCGCCTATTCCACTTTTATTCCTCGGATCAAATTGCCACCTCGGAAAACCAAGTCAAGTTCTCAAAGCTCCGGTGTGAGGTCTCGGATCTTGTTTCTTGATGACGACAGTTACACACCTACCACAGAGGAGGAGTATGACGCTTACGATGATCAGGTGTTTGCTACTCCTTCCCCCCATACTTCCAGGTACTAATTAGGAATTCTTACTATTTTAAATAAAATAATGTTTAATAATAAAAATAAAAATAATTCGAATATCCAGGAAAGGATTGTTGTATGTCGTGCAACAAAATTATCTTAAGGGCTCAAACATTGTCTTTATATTTCTCGTTGGTATTTAAAATTTCTTTGTTACTTTATGATATCCATTTAAAACATTTAAACATAGGAGTAAAAAAAGTATTCAGTGATTTAATCAAAGTGTTCTAAATATACTTGTGTCAATGTCTCATTTGGATGTTTATTTCTTCTTTCAGTCTAAACAGAGGAAACAGACTGACCAAGAAGGCAAGTGTGTCTTTACTGGAAGGCACGCCTACTGCTAAGGTTTGTCTTATTTTACGAATGAAAACATATTTATAAATATGTACAGAGCCTCTTATATTCTAGTTATCTCCAGGTTTGGGCGTCTATAAGGCCTCTACAAATCCCCCTTTTCATTGTTCATACTCCTCCTACTCCTATTCACAATCTCATTCCTCGTTTAGGCTATTATCACTAAAATGGTAAGTTTTACCTTTTCGTCAGTAATCCTCTTTCTCGTCTGAATTGGGGCCTATTTTGAGAAACAAGAACGGAAAACATAAAACACGAAAAACAAAAGGTCATTACACTGTATGAATATACAACTGGTCAGTACAACACTGTACCACAGACGGTTCTGTGTGTGTGTAGTACGGTACTGGGCAGTACAGTCCACTATGACACAGCACAGGTAGATGTGTGGTCATGACTCAGTTTTGTTATTTTGAGTTTATGTTTTCAGACTAACTATCGTTTTTGGACAATTTTTTAATCTCCAAGTGAGTATAATCTAAGAGAATGATTTTAGTCTGCCACCAAAAAATCAAACAAATAAGTTGATCAAATAAGTCCAAAAATCAATAATTTAAAGATTACTGATATTTAAAACTAAAATCAGATTGGGTTTCAGTCAGTTTCTTGTTTAAAACCAGAAAAATTTTTATCTGGAAATCTATTTTCTGATAATGAATGAATGAATGAATGAAAAAGTGCTTTTATTTACAAATATTTGTACAAAAATAACTTCTTAGCACTAACTACAACAACAATGGACAAAAAGCCTGTCTGTTGCGGCTGGCGTACCTGGTTAGCATTAATTTGTACAATTGACTAACGTAAACTGTTCAGATTAACTGTTAACGGTTAACGTAAACTGTTGTGTAAATCAGATTAAAAATTAAATAATAAAACAATTATTTTTTTGAAAATAGACATATTTCTCAAACGGATTTATACATATATGTATATTTGCATAAATTAAAAAAGAATAATATTGAAAATATAAGTAAACTTTTTTAGAAACACAACAATAGCCTACATTCTAGCAATATTTAGCAATATTTGATCAAATTAATATATTGTATATAGATTTCAATGATTCTTGGGAGATAAATAATACATTTATATCTTAGAACTAATACAATTTTGATGCCTTAATGAAACTAATAAATAATAATAAAAAAGATTTTAAAAGTAAGGATATTTGGGAAAATGATTCTCACAGATTGAATTCTTGTATTAAACCCCATCTTTTAGACCAAGCATCTTTTAAATAATTACTTAAGGCCCGCCAATCCCACCCATTCAAAATCTCTATATATTGTTCCTTTGTCAAAATTGGACAGCCAAAATAAAATTTCCTTATTGAATTTAAAATGGGACAAACAGATATAAAATGAAAAGCATCTTCTTTCTCTTGTAAATTACAAAGAGTGCACAAATGATAATTGTCTACAAGCCACGGTTTGAAGTTGAGGTTGATAAGTTCAGCTCTTGCATTGATCGCCCAGGACATTACAGTTATGTCATATCTGTCAGCAAGGTATGTCTTATCTTTTAGCTCGAAGTTAATAGATAAGAGTTGTTGGTGATACAGAGACGTGCCATGAATAAACCAGATAAATCATGAATTTTCCCAATTGAACTTAGTAAACTGTTACGAATGCTGTCCATACAGTAATATTTTCTGTATTTGTCGTCCAGATGAGTAAGCGCAAGCTATCAGACCCTGATATTCACCACTTGGAAGGTGCTGGGTCTCCTCCGGTCACACCTGTTGCTGTCAATATCCCACCTCGGAGTGAGGATGATTCCACTGTCCACACCAGCTCTAGCGTCACACTCAACCCAGCTGATGGTCAGTCTCTGTAAAACGTTGACTTCTCAATAAGTTTTTATTCGTGTAAAAACTCCCGAAAAATTTGTGTAAACTAAGTCTCCAAAATGGCAGTTTATACAATTTCTTTGTCCAAAGTTATTGTGACAAATTGTTTTTCGCAATGTGTATGCACTACTGTATTACATGCAGTAAAAAATATATGCCCGAGGGGGGGGGTGGTCGCCCCCTCTGGATCCGCCACTGGTTGACATTGAAATTATTGTAATGGTTAGTTTGGGACCCCAATCACATTTACAAGTATTTTTGTGTAAGGAAAAGGTTCAACTATTTAAAGGCACACAAAGACTGATAGAAAAAAAGAGGGAAAACATAGGCTAACATGAGAAAACTTTTAAGGGAAAAAGATGTTTAACTACCTCAATTTTATATAAAAAAGCATCATTATTTGGTACATCGAATGACAAATAATACATAATCGATAATACCTGACTCCAAAACTGATCCTGATCATGGTCGTATCAGCAACCTTTATGTTTGAAGGCAATAGGTATAATCTATTGGCTATCCAGACAAAAATTTGATTATGTTTTTAGATGTGAGACTATAACTCGCAGTGCTTCTTATCTAAGAAATTGCAGTATAGAATGATTGCCACTTTACACCTTACATGTTTGCTTCAGGTAAGGCTAAGGCAGAGGAAGGTCTGGTATCAGGCAGTGTAGGGTCACCAGGTGCCGCCGGGTCACAATTACCCTGTCCCTCCCCCGCCAGACCCGGCCGGGCCCTCATCAATCCTTTTGACCCATCACATGTCACCATCAAGCTTACAAGCAACCGACGGCGCTGGTCTCACATATTCCCCAAAGGTGAGTATTGAGTTTCTATGTTAGTATATATGCTGAAAATGCTTTACAGGCAACCTAAACAAATTTGATTTGATTTAACAAAAACGTTTCTCAATATCTATAGAGCTAGGCCTACATCTTTGTCATATACCTTGACCTATCCCTGAACATTTCAACTTACTTAAACTAAATCTTTGTTATTGAAACATTTTACTCAGTTACTTGAAAAAAGTTGTGGAAAGAGACTGTGTTAAATGTTTAACTTTAGTTTTATGAGTTCTTTCAACAAACAATTTGGTGAAATATGTCTTCCTGTTTATTACATTGTACATTCATGTAAAAAAATTATTAATCTTATTAAATTATTAAAATTATGTTAAAATTATTAGTCCTACCTTCAGCATTGTATCATTGTGTACTCAATCTTAGAAAATGGTATTTTTTATTATATTAAAATAAAAACAACTACCTTTATGCCAGAAGTTTTGTAAAACTATTAATTATATTTCCCAGGACCAACGGGCTTACTCATTCAACAACACCATTACCAGGCAGGACCACAAACAACTGCAAACAACAACAACGGCGAGCAACTCTGTAGACAAAGTAATTCTCCTCCTCCGAGCGAACAACCCAGAGTCACAAGGTCTGCGTCACAGGCTGGACTCGTTGACAGTGAGTGCCAACTGTGTAGATTGATAGCCAGTATTACCAACTTATCAAGGTAGATGTAAAAATTATCTCCAAACAATTAAAGGTAACAATAAAACAATCAGATGTAAAAACTATTAAATTAATTAATATTAAATTAATAATTGTTAAATTATAAATAATTTAAATTACATATAAGAAAGTGCAAACAAGGACCTTAAGAGAAAAATTCAAGTAACTAATTATTGGAGAGTTATATGTGTAAAAAAATGTTGTCCTTGTGATTTAGACATGTTGAAGCCGAGGGCGAGTGTCGTGAGTGTCAGTGGAGGTCAGAAGAAGAACCAAGCACTGATCTGGGGCGTGACAGGCGAGCAAGAGTGGACTCCTGCACTCACCACAGGTACGAAGAGACTCGTTGTTTCCACAAGAGTTTTAAACATGTTTCACAATTTTGCCACGAATCTAGTGAAATTTGAGATAGCAACATAATAACCTTTACATGAGTCACTTTTCCCTTTACATGATTTACATCTTTGATACATCAGTTACCAATATCTACATGAGTTACAACATCCTTACATGAGTAGCATGATCTTTACACGAGTTACTATCTTCATGTAAGAAACACAATCTTTACATAAGTTGTACAATCTTTCCACTAATTTATTATTATGCACAACTCCGAGTACCATGATTTTGACTTGTATTATGTGGTGATTTTGCATTAGTTACGTAATATTTACATTATTTACACGATCTTCCCTGCATTTACATATCCCATTTTAAAATTTCATGCAGTTATGTTCACATGTTAACATGAGATTCATGATTACATTTTATGAAACTTCACTATCAAGAAGTCAGATAGAAATCTCACTGTAAAACTAAGTTTTAGTTTTCAATGTCAATAAAGTTGGCAGAATAGAATATTCAAAAGTAATGTTTTTGGTTTTTTACTTCTCTACTTTAGGTTATTGTGACATTAAAATTTATATATTTTAATTTTCTTTTATTAATCATTCATTCACTTAAAAGATTTTTAGCATGATTATGTGTTTTTAGCAGTAACTCCAAAATGTGAGGTTACACCATCACTATAGCTTTATTTGCACTTTCTGTAATCAAATACTGAATATGCTTAATATGGGGATGGAAATTAGATTTTGTTTGGACAATCCTCAATCGCCAGACTCACCAGAAGAAAGACTAACGGGATAGTCACTGGATGATCTATAAAGAACTGCAATTATCCGATTGGTCCCATCAAAATAACTTTTTACTGTCTTTTATTGTCATTGTCGTATATGTTAGTGCAGTATTAGTATATAAAATCGTTCTTAAGTGTTACTAAACCTGTTCTAGTGATTTTTCCTAAATCTGTCTATTGACCCTTTAACAGTTGTAAAATAACTGCATATGTTTAAAACTAATAATTTAAATCTGTCTGTAGCGTTTCTTTTGCTTAAGTTTTGAATCTAGTCATTGTTAAGTCCAGACGCTCAGTTTTTGGGCTATTTTAACGTTCAAACGTCTACACTAAACACAACATAACCCAATTTGTCTTTTTTTACATACCTTGAGAGCCAAACAAATTAACACAGCCACTAACATAGTGAGTCACACTGTTGTCCTACGTGTGACGTGTGTAGGGCCGAGGCCGAGCCTACTGTCGCTACCGAGTCACAACTTACAACGTAAGAGCATGACGTTGTTGTGGGGTGCGACGGGTGAACAAGAGTGGACTCCTGCGTTGACCACAGGTTGAACATTACAGTACATTCAGTGTATCACTAACACTTGGTCCAGCTCTGTCGCTGTTTGCTGTCTCGTGTGTCTTTGTATCTCTGTCGACTGTTCATCATCATCGGTTTAGGCTTGTAGACGGCTTGTCATTTGCATTTAGATTAATCAGATCAGCTTGCATTTCCACAAACATGAAACCTGTATATAAGTTATTGAATAATTTTTAGGCCTACTGAATTTTTTTGGGATAACTGGTTTGGCTGAATGAGTAAGAGTGCATTCTGGCACAAGAGACACAGCTTATTTACACAATAATTTTAAAATGTTTTCTATTTTTTTTATTTAGTGAAAGGCTTCTGTGTTTCTTCTGTGAGCATGGACACTTCCCTATTCAAGAGAACCTGCTACCTCAACAATAAACCTTAAAAACTAGGTACTAGTGCCATATTTGACACCATCAACCTTATACTGAATATAAACAGTATGTAGGAAGTTTATGAAGTAGGCAACAAGAATTTTTTTAACTTCTTGGAAATAGTTAAAGTTTTTGCGTAGTTTATTGTAATCATGTTTTGGCTTTTAACATTGACTGGGAAAACAAGGTTTTTAAGTATTTTGTATGACAATTGTAATCTACACACTACAGCATGCATTTTATTCAAGCATTGATTGTTTAATGAACTAATTTTATCAATGGTAGTAACTTGTTTTTTTTTTTTTTTATAAAAACTAGTTTCTCTTAAGCTATAATTGTTATTTTGAGGGTAAGTTTGAGTAAATAGTATTGTTTTGGGGTAGCAGTCTCTATTTGGAATGGGAACGAGTTCTTCCTGACTCAAGAAACACAGACAATTCAAACCATACACATTAATTAGAATATTTCAGTTTCAATGAAAGCATTTATACCATTGATTGAGGTCAAGGTTCTTGGTTAAAATGCTTTTAGCAAAAGTGAAATATTGTATTAATTGCATATAATAAAAAGTTTTGGTCTTTAACCAGGATGGACTCCAATTCATGTAAGCCTGCTAAGCGCTAACTCAACAACAATCTTTAAGGTACTTTGTTCCTATTTCTTGTAATTTCTCGTAATAATCTTTAAGGCTTGAGCCCTAGTGTCCAACATTACATCATTAATAATTAATTAACAATAAATTTACCTAAACCTTTTTGGTTTTCACAATTTATTTTAATTTCTGTTTTATAGTTTTTAAACTGTTAAAATGCAGAAGAGTATGTAGCTGCAAATTTACTTTTCATCATACTCTCGCGCTAAACTACTGTTTAAAATACTCTCAGCTGTGACAGAAATTTTTGTAATCTCTTTCCGGGCTAGTAACGAAATATACTATTAGGTTCTTCCATTTAATCTTATTTGTAGGCCTAAGTCATTTTGACCAAACATTAATTGACATCATTGCTCATTGCTGTTCAATGTGTTTTTTCTGTCCATGGTTGTGGTTTCGGTTGCGATGTTTCTGCTGCATTTGCTTTTTGGTGTGGTCTGGCTCCTGGAAAATTAATCGTAACCATCAGGTGGATGAGTTAACATCAAAACTATTTAATTAGCGTTTTGAACTTGGTGGAGTTTAACACAATGGGTATAACATAGATATATTTGCATTTGGTAAATATCACTGTAACAACTTAAAAAAAATAAATTAGTTTCAACATACAGGTTTTAATATTAAGCCGTCTGAAAACACGGATCTTATTTTTGAGACCCGTCTTGTGAAGAGAAAGGTAAAAAAATAAAATTAATTTCTTTTTTCATTTGGTATTTTCAATTATTTCATTTTAATTTGTTAAGTGGTTGGCATATTTTAAATGAACCACATTTTTTGAATTTAAATGTTTTGTCACTTAGTTTATCCAGTTTATATAATTTTGCTTGTTTTTATTTTTGTTTTATAACATTTTGAGTTTGTTTTGTTTTTGTTTGCTTGGGGTGTTGTACTGTTTTATTTTGATTTGTTGGCTACATAATAGCATGTCTAATTGCACTCAATTATTTCTTTTTCATGTCTGGCGGTTTTGGATGAAAAACGACGCAGTCTCCAAAGTTATTATAGGTTTGGTTAATTTCTATCAATACATGCTTGGAGGTGTATAATATAATAATGTGTTTTAGGAATTATTTCACTCTTGTTTTTCTGTCATTTTAAAAAATGATTATTCTATTATCAACATTTCAAAAATGAAAACAGATTTGATCGTTTGTCTAACAATAATTATATTTTTACTTAAATCCTTTTTGTAATCTTTCATTTGATAACAGGGACTATAATATAATAAAATCATCAATATCTTGTTGGATACTCTTGTTAGAAACTCGTAACTTTTAATCTTATTTATAAAATTAACTTTTAGGGGGCATTTTATTTTTGCCAAATTTACCCCATTCAAGGAACGCCAGTCAACATAGTTTAATCACTTATAAAAACATCTTCAAATTTATTTTTACATTTAGTATCTGCAAAGTAATTGTTGATTGAGTCGTGCTTAATCACAATAAAGAAGTAAATTTGATTTTCTAGTAACATAGCTTACAGTTTAGATTTTGAAGGCTTTATACAATTTTGGTTGGAATCACAGTTTAATGTAATAATCAGACAGAAGTAATTGTAATGTTATAAAATGGCATGTGCAAAAGTGGCTTTATTTTTTTATTGGGAAATAGAGATTGTATGCATGTTCAATTAGTTGGTTTTATGAGCAAATTTATTAATTTTATCATTGTAATGTCAATTTTAAACTTCCAAATTATACTGATTAGTGTTTTCAGCTAAAACTTCTGCTACATTGCTATACCTGTAAACAGTACGCAAAATAGCTCATTGCTGCTCTAGAGTGGGAATGGATGATTCCTGGGTACTGTTTATAGGTATAGCAATGTGATGATTTCCAAACAGTGGTAGGGAAAAGTAAATCTTTCATATGCACCACAAAATACATTCTTATTTATAGTAGACTTGTTAGAGCCGAAATTGAACATTCCCGCTCGCTAATCAGCTGATTTCACAGTTGACACCAACCACAGCTGCGGATCCGGTATGTTAGTTAACAACCAGGGAGCAAATAACATAACCCTAAAACACAAAAAAGTAAACATAAACTAAATGACATTTTATATACATCTAAAAAGTTAATCTGTGTATTATTATTATAAGTTGATTATGGTGGTAGAAAAAATCTTGTGTGTATTACAAGCACAAACAGTCATTTCCGCTCTCGAAATGTATGGCCACACTCAGCTAAAGCTGCGGCTATCTACAGTTCTTGAGCGGCAATGACATACTTTGCGTTCATAATAGATAAATAGATATTCTATGATTACCTGAGCAACAACCAAGAAAAAAGATCGGGATGGTAACTTTTCAACCGTGCTGAATAAAATCAAATTGCAATAAATCTTTACCCAACCAATTTGACACTTTATTTTTGGTCCATCTATTCTGTATCCCTTCTCAACATATGCTGCTACCGCCATCCTTTCAGAAAGTTGAGTCTTTGATAACGCCAAGTGTTTTTTAATGTTCGTTTGGCTATATATAAGTAAGTAATGTTGTTTGTCTACTTGTAAGTGAGCGTGCTATCCTGCCTGAATCAGTTTTCATGCCGTGTGTTTTTTTCATGTTTTGTAGCATTATCAAAATGTTTCCTTTTGGTTTGCCACTGTTCTGTTCCATTCCGTGCTAGTGCTGTTTAATCTTTTGGTTCTACAAGTTGTAAGAATTGTCACAAGTTACAGCAATATTCTTAATTATTTTAATTATTGCTCTACATTATTTAGCCTTTGGATGTAGTGTGTGTAAAAACTTTCGCTCAATGCAACTTCTGATTTCTGGAGATGTGAATTTTTCTATTGGTTTGTTAAAAATAGCCTTTAAAATAATTTGTTTTGAATAAGGATTTTACTAATTTTCTCAGATCTTGCTACAGTAATATTGATTGACTGTCCGTTTCAAGTCCAGAAAGCGAATATTGGACAAAGTAAATAATATTTAGAGCAAGTGGTTTCTAAAACATATGATCTTCATCCAAAACCAAAAGTTTTTTAAGGTCTAATACTTGTGATAATGTTATTTTATTTTACCATAAAAAATGCCTTGAACACTTTAGTATTATTGCTACATGATCAAGTTCATCAATGACCTTATACCGAGTACAGTAGTTTATTGGAGTGTTGAATCAAATATGGAAAGGAATTAAGGCGTAAAGATCAAAATATTGATTTATTACCAATTAATTACACTTTTTTTGTTTAAAACATATTTATTCACAACTAAAATTTAAAAAAAGAAACATTTATGCTACCTTAGCAATTAGTGTTTAAAGGAGAGAAAATGTGCCGTAAATCCAGCAATCAAGTTAAAATTCATATTTTAAAGCCGGTCTTAGTACTTAAACTACTATAAAGTAGGTGATAAAAAAGATAGTGGTTTTAAACTTTCAACCGCCTTACAAGCAAACCAGAATTAAATCATGTGTATAACCTTACCTTACAGTCAATGTGTAAAAGATATAGTTATGATGGATTATGGATGCCTATAAGAATATTCTTCTAGATACAATATTATTTATTGTATTAGTGACTTATGCTTATAACTATGGATTTTCTGCATTAAATCTATAAAGAGTGGTTTGAAACTAACTTAAATTAATGATTGCATCAAACTTTTATCAATAAAAAAATTATCATTAACAGAACCATCCACCCATTACAAGTTTTAATTTCGTATAAAAAACAGCAAATACTTAGATAATACTTTTTCAACTCCATCCTACTTTCTTTTTAATTTTGTATATATTCTTAAATCATTGAATATTTTTGGAGTACTTTTAGTTTGGACACTATGCACATGACGTTTTAAGCTATTTGATCAACTTCTAAAAAATAATATGTTTTTTTAATTTAAATCTTTTTAAAATTTAATTTATAGTGGTTTGATAATTATTGACTGAATTTGGTGAATTTAATTATTTTGAATTAAATTAAATAGTCAGACGTAGATTAATAATCATACTCTACATATGTCGAGCAACTTCTAAGCATGGAATGTTTTAAAAAAATAGTATGTAAAATACATATTTTGTAGGTGTGGATTGGAAATCTTTAACGATACCTGCTTGTCTGCCGATCACAACGGATTATTTCCCAGACGAAGTTTGTCTCAAGACTGACTATGTGTTCTCCGATTACAACCTTTTGCCGGACGATGTCAATGCGGATTACGCTCAACAAAGAGCAATCTACCGTAAACCTCTGTCAACTCCCGAGGTGTTTAGGGAATTGGTGTCTCAGAGGTTGGCTCAGGTGAGTTAAATATCTACAGAAAACAATAAATTGTTCATGGTTATGAGCTTATTAGTGGTATTTATAATGAGTTAAGTGTGGATTGCAATTGGATTGCAATTAAAAGGGCAGAACTGGTTGACTGTACTAGCTACTAACACTTTACTACTCTACATTCCCTCTAACTAGAGATACATAAGTGTTTTCTGTTCTGGTTATTCTTGGGTGTTGAGCATCACATTGACCTCTTCAAACTCTACCATCTGTCATCTCATTCCTCTCTTTACCACGTCCCTTTTCACCTCTTCAATTCAGCTTCTTTGTTTTTTTTCTCAGTCTCCTCTCTATCACCATCAACTTCATTTTCTTAAGAATTCTCTCTTATTGCATTATTTACACATGACCAAGCCAACTAAGTATTCACAAAATTACAATACTTACTGAAAAGTGCAGGAGAAGGCTGGTTTTGTTGCCAGTTCTTACCAACAAAACACCTTCATGTCATGTGTTACTGTTTTAATTTAAGCATATGATAATAGTTTATTGTTGCTATGTTTTTGTTTTCACTACATCACCTCTACCCAGCGACGTTGCAAGAACAAACTGTTAGTTTTAATCAGCAAACGCCCAGAGTTGATACGCCAGTTAGTTTTAATCATTCTCCTCAAACACCTAATGTAAGATTGAGGTTGTTTGAGATCAAAACAAGTATAGCACTCAAACCAAGCTACTGCAAAAATTATTGTGTATAAATTGCAATAGTAAAAGCCTACAATAATTCTTTAAAAACGTATGGTTGATTGCTCTCCATTTGCCTGATAGGGGTTTCAGCTGATAGTGGAAGCAGGGTGTTCCAATGGTGGAGGAGGAGTAGCTCCGGGCAGTGCTGTGGTAGGACCACGGCCTCAGGACATACAGCCTTCCACAGAGTACAAACTGAGCATTGGTAGAGTGTTCCATCGCATCGTACTCTGTGGCAGTGAGATCAGAGTCACAAGATACAGACCCAGGTATAGTACACAGCGTTAGTAGTACTAGCAATTCATCACCTCAATGTTCTGCTTTTTGTTATCTCTAGTGTATCTGAGCTCCTCTAAATGTACCTGTTTTGTAACTGTTAACCAAGCATTGATCTGTTAACTGTCATGTTGAATGTACCTGTCACCTGTTCTGTACCTATTATCTCTTATGTGGACCTGTTATCTGCTATGTAGCTGTTACTTGTTTGGTGGTTTCCAACAGTTAACGAACACATCAGATTAAAATCTATGACCTTCTGGGGATTTTTATAAGATCCAAAATTGAAGCAGTTTAGAAGCATGGAGAAGAACCACATGTGCCTCAAACTATCTCCCAATATCCTTCTATGGGACAACATTTATGGAGAGATTAGGATTCAAGGAAATTCTCTCTATCTGTAATACCAGCATACCAGTTGAGAAAGCTAGATTTTGCCAACCCTTTTGAAAATTTTGGCAGAAAAAACTTTACCATAACATTTTTAATCAGTTGGAAAATGTAGGAGTTTTTTGCTAAAACACTGTGGCATAAGTTACAAAATAAATACAACATTATTTTCAGGCACCCTTATCCTCCGTTCAATGTCCATTACCACTATCGTTTCCAAGCCCCGGACCATCAGACTTACGAGATGTCTTGGGTGAGCTTCAACACGGAAAAGCTAGAAACTTACAACTGGAACTACCTCGACCACTACATCTGCACCCGTGGAGACACCGACTTTGCTCTAGCCGAGGTAAAACACGTAAAAAAACAGTTTCAATCATTAATATATACTGATACTTATACTTTTTAAATTACTGTAAAGCTGAACAAATCCCCAAGCAAATTTAAGTTACTTGTTATGGCGATTTTGATAAAAAAAAAAAAAATTGGGTGTGTCATAAGCATTGCTTGCTTTGTTTTGATTTAATGAAAAATTGGGATTCTGTTGGTCAAAAATTTTCTTATAATAAAAGGTTAAATTACCTGTGTCCGCCAGTCGATCCTTATGTGCTGTGTCCTATTACAGGATATGCATTTCGGCAGAATAAATTACCATCATCAGTCCTAATATAAGATCTTGATCTTCCCCGTTGGGTGCATCTTGAAGTTTTGAAACACGTACACGACAACAACTTTACACTTATATACATTACGAATAAAAGACAAATACACGGTAGGCCTACTTTTATTTTAGTTACTACGGACATGTAGACGCGCGTCGGTCGTGTGTCGAGTCTCGACTGGGGTCAGACGTTACTTGCAGAGTTGACCTTTGTCCTGTCTCTGTCCTTTGTAGCTACAGGTGGCGTTTCATTCAATTTTAACAATGATTCGAATAATATGTTGGATTGTAGTGTACTTTTATCGTTCAGGAGGTTGTGGGGGCTGGTTTTAGATGCTCTATAAATTTCATATTGCTCTAGTGATGACATTACTCGACTTTTTCTACAAATGTGTAAAGGTTTTAAATTTTCATTCAGGCTGGAATAACTGTGATTGCTGCTAATTAGGTGCTCGGAAAAATTGGATTGTTGTGAAAAAACTATTTTTGGGAAGGTGTTCTTTAAACCTCTTGATTAATGGTCTGCCAGCCTGTCCAATATAATAAATATGCATAAATAAAATAAAGTCCAATATAATATAATTTTCTTATTCTTATTTTCTTACTCATGGATGAAACAAGACCCATTGCTTAAGATTTAACACACAAACTTATCATAATAGGTCTCCTCAATTATCTTGCATAATCAAAGTGATTGTTAACTGGTTCACAAATAAATTGTTGGCTTTCATATCTGTGTTGCTTGTGTTAATTGTTTATGTAAAACTATGGTTGTAAATTCCTAAACGACATGGTATATTAGGTGAGGTCAATACTTCAGTATGATAATATTTTTGTTGGGCATCACTCACCTTATTGAAATCACGAGAACGTAGTCCTTGTCATGTCACAATCATACACAGTTCATTGCACATAAAAATATACAAAAATAAAAATAAATCCAAATTTAAAATATCAGACAAAAGTTCTCAACACCGACGTTTCGCCGCACCAAAATCAACGTGCGGCGTTTTCAAGGTTATTCCTCTTCTCACGCAATCGTTGTGAGCGCCTAACCACTACTAATGAGCTCGGTGGTTAGGCGCTCACAACGATTGCGTGAGAAGAGGAATAACCTTGAAAACGCCGCACGTTGATTTTGGTGCGGCGAAATGTCAGTGTTGAGAACTTTTGTCTGATATTTTAAATTTGGATTTATTTTTATTTTTATTTTTGTATATTTTTATGTGCAATGAACTGTGTATGATTGTGACATGACAAGGACTACGTTCTCGTGATTTCAATAAGGTGAGTGATGCCCAACAAAAATATTATCATACTGAAATATGGTTGTAAATGTTGTGTCTGTATCTGCATCTGTGTTCGTTTCTCTTGCACTTCTGATGCAAACATTACTTAAACATTCAAATAAAGTGGTTACGCTTCCAGAAAATGTTTCTCCAAATCAAATTTCTACAACAGGAACAGAGGATTATATTGTGCACTTATTTAAATCATTTTGTGTAAAACAGTGAATTGAAAGCTAAACAACTTTTTTTAAGGTAAACTATATAATTGATGAGTATATTATTGCCTATTTCAGTCCCTCAAGTACTGGAGGTTCAGGGTTTACATCCTGCCAGTCACCAGCTCAGGAGCATCTCGCAAGATCCTCGAGGGGTCCGAGTATTGTGACCTGTACTCACCTCTGTCTCTCGAGGACCAGTCTCACATCAGCGAGACTTTCCTGCGGTTCATCGAGACTTGGATCAACAAGATCCGACGGCCAGCACAAAAGAAATCACGGGTAAGTACGGCTCCGTCGCCTCATAGAATGTTTGTTTGCAAATCAGAGCTGATCTGGAAGCACTGATAAATGTTTAAATTATAGTCTGATTTGAGCAGAAAAATTTAAATGCAGTAGATTTAGCAGTAGCCAAAGTTAATTTTAATTGTATTCTCATTTTGTGTGATTTTCAACAACATTCGTTTTGAAGTTTTTTGTTAAGGAATGGTCAAATCAATACCCCTCTTACCATCAGTTTGTTATCAGAAACTTCCCAGTTTCATTTTATGAAAGGTCAGTAGCTTTCTTGATGCTTCAAACACAAGTTCAGCTTGAGATTGAACCAGTAGCCTTCAGATTTAAACACAAGGATTCTAATAACTCAGCTACAGTGTTAACTTTTTATTTCTGTAAAAGTTTTTTTTAGGAAAAAGAGTTTATAGTTTTATACCTTAAGCTTAAGGAATGAGTTGGTAACTCAAACTAGAATACCACTCTTGTTTAAAACCCAAATATCAACTCTTCATATAATCACACCCTGTAGACAGTTTTCTTCAGATTCACTTAAATGTTTGTTACACCTTATTGAATTTTACAAAGGGACTGTTGGGAGAAAAAAATGCTGGTCAAGGGTTTAATTGTTTTCAGGAGTTGTTTCAGGGATTTCATATCAGCTCTGATTGTTATTATTTAGCCAGCCGCTGTTCTTTTCTTATGTTGCAGCTTTTTACGATTTTCTCTATCGCACACATAAATCTCAATCATTTCTACGAATCTATTACAAGTCTCTCTTTTGTATTATATTTCTTCTTTTCTTTAAAAATTCCAAATAAAAATGTCCAAGTTCAACATGTCAAAATCATGCCTTGAATGATGTGAATTGCCTGCTTTATGGGTATTTCTTTCTTTTGGAATTTGTGTGATATATTTGTAAGTATTATGATGAAGTGAAAAAATTATATAACTTTACAAAAAAACTTAATATAAAGTATATGCCACCAAAAAATACAAAACTGTCTCAAATCAAGCTTCTTCTTCTTTTTAAACTATTGAATTCAGTGTAATTAAAATGTATTTTATCTATACTTGAACCTGGTGGTGGTGTTTAAAAAAATGTTTTCCTTCCTAGATTCTACAATTCTATGTTAAATGTTTGGTTAACTAATAGGCTGCTGTAAGCAGTGTTGGTCGTAGCATTTGGAACAGTAATTTTTTTACCATACTCAAGACAATGGTTGGGATGTATGTGTTTAGTCTTGCCACCTTGAAACTGTTTCCTTATTGTTGTCATCAGTTCAATGAAATGTTTATAATTCAAAAAGGGAACTAGAACTCCTCAAACAGTTTAAATAATAATGTTATTAGCGTTGTACAAACACCGTACTAGACCATCCAATGTAAAACGTAAATTAGTTAATGATGCCCTTGTAATAAAAAACCATTCTGAATTTGGCAATTGAAAATAAATATTCAAAAGACATATTTAATATATAAAATAGTTAAAAACCTCAAAATAGTTAATAAATGGATACAATTAAGCTACTTTGAAACTACAAATACATGGTTCTTATAAAACCACTGACCATACTCCAAAAATTGTTCTATATGCATTAAAAATGTTCTCAGTCGTCCATATTTTTATTGCTATGGTTCTTCAAGTCTAAAGGTTTAGATATTACAGCTACAAAATGGATTTGTTTTAGGTAAACATTTAGTTTGGTTATAGATTTTTTTGGTGTAATGTATAAACAAGATAACTTTGAAGTCCTGACAAATAAAAAAATAATTAGAAAACCAATCGTATCTGGGCCATTTATTAAACTATATGACAACTTTAAGGAATCAGTTGGGAGGGGTGGCAACACTGTTAGTGTTTTGTGAGTAGTGATTATTGCATGTTCAGCTCGAGTTGGCAGGTCTGAACCAAGCTTCTCAGCTCACAAGACGCAGGCATAGCACCGGATATATGTCATTTAATTCTCAGGTAACTCTGACACTTAGATAGAAATGTAGTACGGTCTTTTCTGTAATACCATAGACAAAAAGAATTAAATATAAACCGTCAGCTGCTGCGGTTACTTTAGGTTCTGGCGCACACCGCCGGGAGCGTCATGTAGTTACGGCGTACGCGCCACGTAACTATACGGCGCTCCCAGGGGTGTGCGCCAGAACCTATCGTAACCACTGCACGGCTGATAGTCTATATTTAATTTTTTTTGTCCATAGTAATACATACATACATATCCTCTTCTATTACAAACTATTCCAGGATGTGATGGTCTAGGACCTCCATCTTCTCCTACCTTCTGGAATCTTACTCCTCTCTTCCCCACATTCCTCTTCTATCGATCCAAATTCTTCCAGTTCTTCCTCTTGGTCTTCATCCCTATATTACTACTCCATTTCCCTCTCCTCAAATTCCTATCATGTGACCAAACTATCCAGGTTTTTCCATTCTGCCTCTAGTTTTCTTCAACTGCTCTACTGATTTCTACACTCTTCACTCTATCCTATCCTCCCGTATTTATCCCTTAACAGTCCTTAAAAATTTCATTTTCCATCTTGTTTTCTGCCCTATTTCCTCTCCTGCACTTTCCATAATTAGCCCTATAAGTAACTACTGGCCTATATCTCTTATAAATGAATATATTGCCTAAATTTGTACCTATTTTCTATAATGTAACCGATTTAACTATAAAACTGCATATTATGTGAAATCTGAAAATAGTGATGATTTTGCCACAAGTCTCATTTTACAAATAAACTATTTGATTAGTTTAGCTGTTCGTCATTTACGTAAAATTAGTAGTCCAAATAGTGGCCTTAATCATATTTGAGCTCAAACTATGGGTTTTTGTTTGAACCTTAATGAAATATGTTCAATTTATTAGATAATCTTAATCATTTTAATAACAGTAAAAAGTTGAATAACATAGATCAACAAAATCTAAATATACCCTTAAATAGATTAACTAAAATTAATTATGTAGATTACCTAAAATTTATAGTATTTTTTAATTATTGTAACTTTAATACTTTTCTTTGAAATGACGACCATACGAAAGAAATGAAGATAACCTTAAAATCCATAGCATTCTCTGCAGAATAAACGTATGTTGGCTAACTATAAAATAACTTATTTGTAACATAACTTCAAATAGGCAAGTTTACTAAAAATACATTAAACTAAAAATTCTGTAGGAAAAATGTTAGTTTCTTTTAACTTTCTACCTTGAGATCATAAGTCAATTAAAATGGTAGTAGGCCTTAATTTAACATAGGTAAGTTAAAACTCTAAAAACCCATTAAAAACCCTTTAAAAAAAAACCCTAGGTAGGTGTGTTGTTTAACAGAAAAGACCTGAGAAATTAAATAATTCTTTAGATCTGCTTACTTTTAACAAATTATACTAGTTACCATTTATTGTAGTTGTTTTCTATAGTAGTAAAAAATTCATAATAAAATAGCATATTTTAAAGGACATATTTTATCTTATACAATAGTTAAAATTTCCTATAGCTTGGAAATAAAAAAAAAATATATAAAATGTTGTGTTATGTATCTTAAAGCTGTTGTCAAATTTTTCAATTATCTAGCCTATCTTCTGCACTTCTCTTTCATTTTGTTTTATTATGTTGCAACATGCTTTGTAATATTTTATTTCCTATGCTTGAATTGTAAGATTTTTGTTAAATTTAAGTTTTACACTGAATATCTATTTAAGCTGTAAAACAGTTAAAATGTTATAGGTTTGTGTTACTAGGTTGTATAATGGTAATATTCGTTAGTTTTTGCCCTCCCTGCGGTCATAAAAAACATTTAAGTTTGGAATACTGTTTATGAAAAACATATATTTTAAATGTTGTTAAATTGTTTGGAATAACTTTCAGTAATAGAGAACACTCTTGTTTTATTTTGACGGTTGCTTAATACTTATATGTTCTGGAGGATCTTATCCCACACTTTTCTTTTTTACCTTAAGTTTTGTAGTAGGCCTACCCCAAAATACCGGGTTCAAAATGAATAGCTGGGTTTTAACGCTTTATAATTTTTATACTATTAAACTTACCGCCATAAAATATGCATCAAATGAAAAAGCAACTCAAAGAGTTTATGCCTTCCAAAGACACATAATTTAACAAAATTGATCCAGCAGAACTGTAGATTTAATTGTACAAAGTTAAAAAGTAATCTCCAACTTTTTTACCACTAGAAATTTGGAGGTTGCTTGACGTTTTTGCAAATAACTTTTAAATAGTGAGGAAATCGACCAAATTGGAAGGTAATATTCCGAAAGAGAATAAAATTTCCTACAATCTACTACTATGCATTTCATGAAAATACTCAATAAATGTAGTCTGAATTTGGCTTATAATAAAAAAGTGTGAAATTTTATGTTTGCTATATTTATTGTCTACATTGGAGACGGAAATTTTCAATTTTTTCATTTTGAGGCAATTTTTGGTACCATTCTTGAGTATTTTCAAAAAATGCATAATAGTTGATTGTAGGAAATTTTATTCTCTTTCGGAATATTTCCTTCCACTTTGGTCGATTTCCTCACCATTTAAAAGTTATTTGCAAAAACATCAAGCAACCTCCGAATTTCTAGTGATGAAAAAAGTTGGAGATTACTTTTTAACTTCGTACAATTAAATCTACAGTTCTGCTGGATCAATTTTGTTAAATTATGTGTCTTTGGAAGGCATAAACTCTTTGAGTTGCTTTTTCATTTGATGCATATTTTATGGCGGTAAGTTTAATAGTATAAAAATTATAAAGCGTTAAAACCCAGCTATTCATTTTGAAACACCCGGTATAATGGTTAAATTGTTAAATTGGCTTGCATAATACTTTTTCAGTTGGCTTAACACATTCACTGCTAATGATATGTAATACTTTTATAAATGGCTAAAAAACATAAACATTAACATGATCATGTTAATTGAGTGACAATATATCTTTAATTAAATAAATTTTATACTATAAATTGTGGATTAAAATATATTATGTAATTATATACATCATGTATTATATATCTGCTAATATACTTATGACGCACAAGTGCGTCATTAGCAGTGAACGTGTTAAGAATGTTCTAAATTTATTTGTTTTCTTTGTTCCATTCATAATCTTATCTCTGTTCTCCCGACCATCATAATTGGTCTCCATTTAGCGAGGTTCTGCTATATAGGGTGTTGAAACCAGAACTATTTTGATAACCTAAAATACAAGAATAAAGTTTCAATATTAAAAGATATTGCATTATATTGTTGTATGTTTTGTTACTAACTGACTTACAGACGAGTGTAGCTAACTCCCCGTTCCGAGAGCGATTGGGGAGCAACCGCCTTCCGGATAAGCCTAGACCAAGGTCTGTAGCATGTTTGTTGCACGCTCTAGGTGGCAGTGGCTCTTCTTTGGGCATGGATTACTTAATATGTTTGCATTTGTGAATTGTAATAACTCTTATAATATTGCAATCCTTTTTGTTGGTTATTAGGTAAGGGTGTTGTTTTTTGTGTTGTGATTTGCAGGTGTATTTTTATTTCATTTTATTTATGTAACTGAGGGTTGTATGATCACTTTAGAATTTTCTGTCTTTTAATAAATTTTTCAGGTTTTTAAATCAATTTTTTTGTGATGTTTGCTAAAATTGGTGTCGTGCACTCAGCATTTTTAGATGGCCATTTGTTACAGATCCATCTTTCCAGAGCACTTATTTTGGCAAGTTATGTTTGAGTTTTTATATTGTTTTGTATTTAATAGTAATCATTAATTTTTCTTTTGTCAATTTTACAGGACAAATGATCCGGAAAATGCTAAATGCCGAAAGTTAGATTAAATTGTTAGTGACATTTAACTAATGACTCAAAATTTTTAATTTTACAAATTTCTAAAAAAACCTATTTATTTAATGATCTGTCAATTTTATTCATTTCACCTAATTGCCTATTAAAAAATACAAAGTGAAAGTGAACATTATTTTTTTACACCTTTAAAGCCCGAAAGAGCCAGTCATACATAATTTTTCCTAACAGACATTTTATTAAGTCATTTTAATAAAAATCATTAATCCTAACTATCCTATGCAATCAAATATTGGAATGTACACCATTTATAATCAATATCTAACATTTCTTACTTCAGTATTGGTTCACTGGAGCACATGTTGTTTGTTTATTTTGCCTGTCGCTTGGTAGCGGACTAGCATTCACGCTTTTGCTGTCTTGTGTTGATAGGACAGGCATGGCCGCATAAGTGAGCGTCTAGCCACGACCCCCAGGTGAGATAGACTCGTAAACACTAACGTCTCTAATGGTGTGATTTCTGTAATCGGATATTTTTTTGAACTTAGGTTTTAATCAGTGAGTTGTAGAGGTTTTGTCCAGTGTTTGCTGTTTGAATCCTTTCATAATTTACTTTTAGGAACGAAAACATTATTTCACTCATCTGGTAACTTTAGGTGGGCTAAGTACGGGATATACACAAATTACATAACGTACTTTTTCATCATGCTAAAACCCCCCACCCATTCCCCTTGCGTTACCAAACTTGTACCAAGATCGCAATAGACTTTGATAACAGCTTAAGCATAATTGTACTAGTGCAATTTGGTTTTAAATAAATCATTAAACTTGTAATGACTTTTGTTTTGTAACCTTTTTATAATCAAAGCAAGATTGTTACTAATAATATAATAAAACATTGAAGTAAAAACTACGGTAAATGAAAAACAGCTGTTTGGTAACAAATGTCGCCACAGAAAATATATTTATGAGATTAAAAAAAATGTTACATTTTCAAGGGAAATTAAAAATTGAAGCTTAAGTTTTAAATACTGATTTAGATATCAATTTGATTATTTCTGTATTTTTAAAGAGCGATGTTTGAGTTACGTGACGCTATGTATACCCCCTCCCCCCCTGTGTTAAGTAAAATTTGTATGGCCCCTAAGTTAAACTTCAAATATATCTTGGAACATAACGCTGTAGATATATGATTTTTAGGTCCATTGTTTAAATAAGTTTATTGGAAAATATAGACATTTTCCAATATTAATATAGCCTAAAGGTTGTTGAAGATGGTTTTTAGTTGCATTTCCCAACTATTTTTAGCTAATTAATTGTTAATAATGAGATCACTTACTAGCTGCTTACTTTCTATAAAGTAACTTAAAAAAATTAGTCTGAAAAACATTAAAACTATTCACTTACCAATCAATCAATTGCTCCACTTATTATAGATTTAAAATGCTTGATTTCAGGAGTTTTTACTAGCCTACTTCATAACGCCTTATGTAATATCTTTTGTAATTATATCATGGTATTAATTTGATTCCCTTATTTGAAGCTTTTGTTACCATATTAGTGTAACCTTTGGTTGAAAGTAATTCTATTTTTTCTTTTGCTTTGCTGTTAATTTATCTGGACGAGAATTATTTACATATACATTATGGTAGATTACTACATTAGAGCATTATGCTGTTCTTATGTTTTAAACAAACTCTGGTTTGTTCATGCAGAAATGTGTGAAATGTATCACAAGCAAAGGTGTTATAAAATAAAATATATTTATCTAAAAATTGGTGTTAAAGAAACCACTATTTTGTTTTCATCCCAAACATTTTATTTTTAAATGAAAAACTAGTATGTAGGTAGTCAAATTTTATAACGGCTTATTATAATGGATTTCATTAATTTGTAAAACTAATGAGTTTTGTAACTGGTAGAAGTTGCAATATAATAAATCTAATTTAACGTGATCCATATTTTATATCAAAAATAGTTTTTGATGTCATCCTAAATTTCAGGCATATAACTTTTGGCCAATTCATAAAAAAATAAAAATTAATTAATCTGCATGCATTAATGTTTTAATGCATTACTCCATGGAAAGCTTTCAGTACCAATCATATTGCTTAGTGATCAGTTGATTACTGAAATATTTTATTCTGTATAAACAAACAATGGTTAACTTGAATGTTGTTCTTACACTACTTAGATCAGGATCCAAAGTGTTGGAGAGGGGCAGAGCTTCTCCTGCGATTGACTCCGTTCCTTTACCATCGAATTTGGCTGATTCAGAACATTCCGATTCTGTTGATGATACGTAAGTACATTTTGCTCAGATAAGTAGACAACAACACTTTAAACAAAAGTTATTGAACTGTCACTCTTAAGTTTTGAGTCCATCAGTCAAGTGTAATTAAATGTAGAGCGGTAACCAATTATTAAGGTAGAGATCGCAAAAATTTCTGTTTGATTATGATTTGGCCGCTGAAAATCGTATTGCAAGAAACAGAACATTACAAAAAACCGTTTTCCATGACTTTGCGAGTCTGCCACAATGGTTTCCCCTTTTTGGGTTTTTAGTATGAATTTGTGTGATGCCACTTGCTTTCTGGAGTCTCATTCAAAACCCATGTTTCATCTCCCGTAACAATACAATTAAGAAATCGGTCTCTATCTTTGTCATATTGACCCTCGTATCAAATCGTCTTAACACAAAGTTTAACCTTTCCAGTTTTAATCTGTGTTTAGAAGCATTGACACATGTATATTAAAGTGTGCATCCCATTTCTATGGACAGTTTGTAGCCAGTTTTTCATCCAAATCAAAGATAGTTGAATGAGCTGTTCCCAATGTATGATTTCAAAATTTGATTTTCTATTTTAGCTTTCAAAACTTTGATAATTCATGAGGCATTAAAAAATCCTCAAGAGTTTACTAAGTTGTCCTGTTGGTTTTGCTTTGTTACAAATTCGGTGTGTATGACAGGAATCAGTAATTACGAGGGCGGTTTTTTAAGGTGGGGCCATTTTCGCGTACAAATCCGTAGTTCGCTTGTACGGTGCAACGACGCTCATCATCATTTACTGGCATTGTTTGTGAAGAACAGAATGACACACATTTGAGCCCTGTAGCTGTCAAATACGCTTTGCGGTGTGTTTTTAAATTTTTTGACCAATCAAATCTCCTGCTGTGTTTGAGGTTATACGGTTTTTGATTTCAAGAAATATATCCAATGCCAACATTCATCGCCAGTTGACTGGAGATAATGACCCTGATGCAAAGATAGCGTAGATGGAAAGAAAGTGTAGACATAGGCTAGGGAGTTTAAAAATGGCCGTAAAACTTCTAATTTTTGAAAGAATTATATTTTTGGTGGGTACCCAGACTTTTCAAAGAAGACTGCTTAGAAAAAAGGATTTCATGACCATTTTTACACCCCACACCCATTTCCACACACAGGGTAAAGACCCTCACTCATTGCATAGGAACATCACTTTCAGTCATTTGACGATGAATGTCAGCATCAGATATGTTTGTTGTAATAAAAAAACGTATCACTGACCTTACCTCGGATTTCATTCTTTAAAAAACTTTCAAAACACACATCTAAGCGTACATGACAGCTAAAGAGCTAAAATTTGTGTCATTCTGTTCATTAAATATGCCAGTAAATGGTAATGAGCCTCGTTGCGGCGTACAAGCAAACTATGGATTTATACATGAAACCGGCCCTTACTTAAAAAAAAAACGCCCTCGAAACATCAGCACATTCTGTTAGCGGCTCTATTCAACTATATTCAATTTCATTCTAAAACTGTCTGTAATTTTGAAGGCTGGATTTACAACAGAGTATGTTTACGAGCTACTAGCCAGATTTTTACTCTTAGCTTGTAAAATAGTACTCACTACACTTGCTTGACAGCGGCTTTTAAAAGTTGAGTTAAGATTTAGAAAAAGTGATGTCTGACGGCAACTTTACACGCCACTAACAGTAATTTGAGGTAACTAGATTGTAAAACCACCCAAGCGTATCTGTTTTTGCTTTCCTTGTGCTCAAAGTGACAAGTAGTATTACTCTTGTTGAAGTCGTAGGAATTTGTTAATAGGGGGAGTTGTAAGTCATACTACTCGCTTTCTAGTAGCTTGTAAACTTGCCTACAGTAATCAAGCCTAATTACGGGGATGGGATGTCAACGCTGGTAGTCATTTACAGTTTAACATTTTCACATTTGACCAAATATTTTGCAGACTGTTGTTGGGAGGAGAGATTCTAGTAGTGAAGGAGCCAGTAGTGCTGCTGGAGGTGGTGGATCTAATGAAACATCACCTCCATGGACTCACCTTCGTCAGCCCTCACACCAGGTTAGTAGACTTTTCATCACAATTATAAGCTGAAGACTTGATATCCGATATCATTCGTGTGTATTAATGTGGACCCCATGAGTTGTGTATTTTAGGTAAAATTGTACAGTGTGCTCATTGATTTTAATTTTGATTTTAATTTTTACTCATTGATCTTAATACAGTATTAACCCTCCAAGTGTCCATAGTTTAGGCCTTAATGTCCACCTATTTTTGGCGCATTTGCAAGGTTTTATTAAAACGGATCTGAGAAGCTTAAAACAATGTTAATTCTAATGTTCTATATACCATTTTGTTTGGAAAATCATGGGCTTCAATAGTATATATAAAACATAAGGAACATTTTTTCAAAAAAAAAAATTTTTAGGTAAAAAAAATATAATTTCAAAAATTTTCAAAAAAAAAATAAGTTCGCGCTCAATGAAATTGTATAAATTATAGGCCTATAAATATTTGAAAATAGCCACTTTGTTCTAAATTTTATGAGGATTACAAATATATAATAATATAAGGAAGTATATTTGCAAATAAATAAGTTATGGGCAAAAAACTGATTTCAGTACATAGCGTTTAGCTAAGAATGCATAGCCTAACCATAGCTAGGAATCTGGCTGATAATTTACATCAATATCACTACCTACTTCTTCAGGATCATCAACCAGCACTTCAAAACCACTTAAATCTTCTTATAATGCACCACGTATATCACTACTTTTGATTTTTAACACTAAAACAATGATAAACGTAATAAAACACATCAGTCATCGGTCCGGGGGAACCTAGCTGTTTACAAATACACACACGTCAGCTGTCTGCTACAATATTTTCGGAACTAAAATGAATAGCGCTTAGAGACAGACCTCTGGAGAAAGCTTAGAATATTACGGAAAGAACGATACCTAACTCGATCCAGTTCAATCCGATTCAGTCAGTCATAGAGCCTTCGCCGTAAACGATGTCTGCGTGTCGAAAAATCGACAAGTAACACTACACAAAGTGTGCTGCTTGTCGAATTTTCGTCAAGTAACACTGGGAGGGTTAAACAAAAATTGTTCCTTTGTTTTGTGTGTCTTATATGTTTTATCTCATTGGCTTTTAACAGGATCTAAAGATTACACATTCCTTTGATGTTTCTATGACACTTAAAAATGAACTTTAGAAGTCTGAAATTACATTAGTAGATCCAAACATGGATCACTTGACATAGCAGATAATCTAAACCTTTTGAGAATCAGTGATCCATTGGCTAATTTGTGATAGGCCTACTTTATTGCTGACAGTTTTTGTTGTATGTTCAGCCTTCACATCCTAGGACGCTAGCATTGACTATTGGATACAGAAGAAGACATCCCATCTATATGGATCCGCTGTCGCCAATTTTTTACTAAAAAAGAATGTAGTTGTGTGAGCCAGTCACAGATTGCGCTAGTGTCTAAAACTCTATTTTGTACCTTATTTTTTGTTACTGACATAGTTGCTGGGTCACAACAGTTGTTTGTCAATAGCTCATAATAAGCCATTCCATCAGTTTGACTTGGTAAAAACCATCATGTAATCGGCAGAAATCAGTAATTTAGATCAGCGCAATCTGTAGGTGGCTCACATCAACTAAGACAAATTTTATTAAAAACCTGGCTACATCTTTAACATGGGGATGGATTGTGTTAAAAGTCAAAAATGGAAAGAGAAATAGACTCGATAATGAGCAGAAAATAATTTAATTATTCACAAAAGAAAAGTTACTCAATCATAGTAAAATGCTACCAAACAATTATTTCTGTATTCACAACATAACAATTCATTCAAAAATCATATGTCTCAAAATTATTAAAGTTCATTTTCATAGCAGCTGGAAAAAGACAAAATATAATATAAACCATAGATTATTTAAGTGAAATGTTTGTATACTATATCCAACATTCTCCCACCTTTTGACTTGCAAAGTCAAAATATTAATTATTAATCCAGGTATCTTCGTGGGGGTATAATTTTTCTTCCTCTTTGTGTGTAAACAGGTTGATCATGTTCACGACCAACACCTTCAGCTACTTGTTCATCTTCCATTTCGAATGTTTCATTACCATCTTGATTGTCTTTCTGCTGGACCAATTCAAGTGGAAACACATGTTGTATGGGTCTCAGCACTGTTCCTTTTGATGTTTTTATTTCCACAAGACGTATGTTGCCATCTTTTCCAGGAAGTATCTTCTCAATCTTCGCCAAAGGCCAGTCCATCCGTTTGGTATTGTCGCTTCCAAGTAAAACAATTTCTCCAACTTGCACTTGACGAGATTTCTTCTTCTTCGAATGTAACACCAATTGACTTAAATATTCGCTTCTAAATCTTTGTTCAAGATCTTCTTTTAATTTTAATTTAAAGTTCCAACGTCGAGACAAATTTGTGTAGTTGATCTGGTCCAAATCAATAACTCCATACTCCTTCGTACCATTCAAAAACATAGCTGGCGTCAAAACTTCCATGTCATGGCTGTCTTCTGAAATGTAAGTCAAGGGTCTACTATTTATGACAGATTCACAACTGCACAAAACGGTCAAAAATTCTTCATAAGTCAAACTAGCTCTTCCTAAGACTCTGCGAAGAAGCTGTTTCAATAGTCTTATGAGTCTTTCCCACCAGCCTCCCCACCATGGTGAGGCAGGTGGGTTGAATTTCCATTCTATACGTTTGATTGTGCTGTACTCAACAATCTTATTCCAATCGATTTGCTTCAACGCACTGTAAGCCCCTCGGAAGTTAGTGCCGTTGTCTGCAAACAAGACTGTTGGTCGACCCCGTCTGGAAATGAATCTTCTCAAACTTTGCAAGAATGACTCAGTCGATAATGAAGTAACTAACTCCAAATGCACGGCACGGTATACTGCACATGTATATAATGTAATCCAAGCTTTTTGTCCATCTCGCAGGAAAACAGGTCCAGCTAAGTCAACTCCACAGACTTCAAAAACAGAAGCATCTCGAACCCGTTGCGAAGGAAGTGGTACTGGATCAGTATCCAAACTTTTAACACAATATCGCTTGCATTTGACACATTTGTCAATAACTGATTTTACAGTTCTTCTTCCACTAATAATCCAAACTTCTTCTCTGAGAATAGATAACAATCCTTGGACTCCAACATGTGAATTTTCTTCATGTTTGTATTGTATGTATCTGTGAACAACAGGATGGTTACTCGGCAATACTATGGGAAGATTAAAATTCCTACTATCAGGTCTCTCTGTGATTTTCGTTTTTAACCTGAATAAGCCATCACTGTCTTCAAACGGACACAATGAACTCAATTTTTCATCCTTGATACTATGGAAAGCGTCTTTCTGAATAAGTTTAAACACTTTATTTTGAGCCTCAATCAATTCATCAACCGACAATCCTCCTGATATCTTTTGTTTAGACATATTTGTGTTACAGCAAAACCTCAAAATCCAGCCTACCAATCTGACGATTTTATCAAATCTGGAGAAATATCTGTAATACCAACAATCTGGTTCAGGTTTTGAATTCATCATAATCTTTGTAGTTGATTTAATCTTTCTAAGTTCAGAATTTACTTCTTTCTCATCACAATCATCACTGAAGTTTTGGTTAGGCCACAAGTTTGATGAGTTTCTTAGCCATTGTGGTCCCTCCCACCATTTCGACTCCACTAGCTGCTTAGGAGAACATCCACGTGATGGCAAATCAGCTGGATTCATATGACCTGGAACATGATTCCATGATTCGATGCTACTAAGGGATCTTATTTCCTTTACTCGGTTCCAAACAAACACTCCCCAGTAATCTTCTCGACGAATCCATGACAAAACGGTGGTTGAGTCGGTCCAATAAAATGTTTTGACATTTTCAAATCCCAAACTCTTTAAGACGTTGTCAGTTAGACGAGCTCCAATGGTAGCCGCCAATAACTCCAGTCGAGGAATAGTCATCTTCTTGACAGGTGTAACTCTACTCTTCGCTTGAACCAATTGAACTGTGACAAGTCCATTAGATTCACCCCTCAGGAAAACCGCGGCCGCATAAGCGTCCTGACTTGCATCACAAAAACAGTGAACTGTCCAAGAAATATTCCCTCCGATTTCATTTCCAAAATATCTTGGAATTTTCAAATTTGAAAAAATCTCAAGTTGCTTTGCCCAATCTAAAAACAAAAGTTTTATCTCTTCTGAAACCTTGTCATCCCATCCAATTTTACTTTCCCAAGTTTTCTGCAGCAGTATCTTAGGCAAGAGTGTAGCAGGACAAGTTATACCTATGGGGTCAAACAACTTGTGAGCAAAAGACAAAATAGATCTCTTTGTGACTATTTCAGGCTCTTTAAACTCAAAGTTTTCAAAATTCAACTCAATCATGTCAGTATTTTTGTTCCAATTTAAACCTAAAATAGGTGTCAAAGTAGAATCATTTTTAAAACTCTGAATTTCTGTGTACTCCCAACTCCGAAGACAGAATCTAGCATCTTTCATTACAGAAGTCGCTTGATCTACAAATTGATTCAATTCTGAAAAGTCATCAAAACTTGCCATACAGTTATCTACATAGAAACTTCTCGACAGTGTCTCTACTACTTTTCTTGAGTAGTTTAACAATCCAGAATCTATCAAGTCTAATGTTTTTTCTAAATGAAGTTTGATTACTGCACTTAGCATAAATGGACTACAAGTAACTCCAAAGACCACTCTAGCGTGTCTGTAAACAACCAATTGACCCTCTTCATTAATCCACAAAAAACGAAGAAAATCTCTATCATCCATATGTACACCAATCTGTAGAAAAGCCTTCTCGATGTCAGCAACAACTCCATATCTGTGTAGTCTAAAACGATTTAATATGGACGGAATCAATTCAATTAGGTTGTCACCTTTTTCTAGACAATCGTTCAACGAGGGCTGATTCTTTTCTTTAGCAGATGCATCAAATACAGGTCTCAATTTCGTGGTAAGACTGTTTTCTTTTATCACATGTCGATGCGGTAGGTAGTGACCAATTTCCAAATCGGCATCGTTAACCTTCTCTATGATACCTAATTCCTCCCAGTCAGACAACACCTGTTGATATGAACTAAGATATCCACTAGAAATAAGTTTATTTGTAAGATTACTGAGTCTCTTCTGTGCTACTTTTAAATTAGTGGGTAACGGCGGCTGATCATCAACCCATGGCAATTTGACCTGATATCTGCCATCATTTTCCACTGAAACAGATTCTACAAAATGTTCCATTGTTCTACTTTTAACTGAAAATTCACTCTTTACCTCCACTGGATCCTTGATTCCTAAAACATCCAAACTCCACAAATCTGAAATGGATTTATTATCAACAGGGGAAAGTAAAGAAGTTACTGCCATAGAACTGGACCTGTCATTCCCTTCAACTGTAGTTCTTCCCATTAAAGTCCAGCCCAACAAAGTGTGCATCGCAACTAACCCGTTGGAAAGCAGATATCGTTTCTCAGTGTAAAGTTTCCCAGCAACGTCTGCACCTATCAGAACTTCAATAGGCCCGTCTCCATCTTTTACATTAATTCCCAGTGTTCCAAGCTCAATGGACCAAGGACCATGCTTAACTGCTGTAACATCGTTACAAATTACATCTTGATCAAGAACGTCAAAATTGCAGGCATAACTGTTATTTAAGTCACTTAGTCTAACCTTATAACACGCATGTTCAATTGTTTCAGTACTAGTGCCACCAAATAAAGCATGAGCTAGCTTCTCCTTTCTGACTATGTCGTAGCCAAATTCCTTTGCTGTATTTTTCAAAATATAAGATCGTTGTGATCCCGTATCTATTAAAGCACGTGCTGTTCGCTCTCGATTTTGGTTTCTAATTTTTACTAAAAAGGTTTGTAAAAACACTTCTGTGTGAACATTGTTTGCTAGAGAACTTTCTTTGCCTGGTTGTTCACTCAATGAACTTCCTTCTGCAGCAGATGCCCTACACATAACAGCAGTGTGCCTCCTTCCACAGTTAGGACATTTTACTCTAACTTTACATTGCGAACTCCTATGACCATACTTCAAGCAAGTAAAGCAACAACCATTTTTTCCAACGATTTTCACCTTCTCATCTACTGTCAGTTTACTGTCTTTACAGTTTTCAGCTAAGTGGTTAGAACCACAAAACATACATTTAGCGTCTTTAGTATTTAAATTATCAGACATCGTTGGATTAACTAAACCAGCAGCTGTCGGCATCATTTCAGTATGTCTGGCGTAACTAGGCTTAGGTCGAAATACAGTAGATTTACTTACTTTAGGCTGTAGGTTAGGTCGCTTACTATTTTCAAAACCAGATGCGGCTAAGGTAATCCTTTCCTCGTTAGCAACCTCCTTTTGCAGAAACTTCATCAAACCATCAAGTCTATCCTTAAGTTCAGCATCAACTTCATAGCCGTAGTGACGCTGCCAAGCTCTCAACAGTTCCTCGGGCAAACAAGACTCTATAAGAGGATATAACATAGCAGAACATTTGTCAGTTGTTACTCCTAATGTCTCCAATGCTCTTAGCTGGGTTTCCAGTTTATCGTAAATGAAAGAAACTTCTACCTTACCGTTTAAATTACTCAGCACTAACTTCAAAAGCTCTCTAATATACACTTCTATGAGAAGGTCATCTCTACCAAAACGACTTTTAAGACTTTGCAAAGCTTTGGAATAGTTCTCAGAGGTAGCAGGATAGCTTTCAACCAGCTGACGAGCCCTAGAATTAGCTAAAGTAGCCTGCATAAGATAATGATATTTATCAATATCGTCAATATTCTCGTCATCATCTATTCTTTTTAATTGTGCCCAAAAAGGTAGCCAATCCTTCAAATCCCCGCTAAACTTTGTGAATTCAATAGTAGGTAGCCTCAGCTTAGTCCTAACAGCAGTAGATTTACTCTTTACAGACCCATTGGAATTAGGTGAAGTGGCCCTAGACCTAATCAATCTACTCTGTACAGCTAAACTAATTCGATTAAACTTCTCTACATATTCATCTGCTAGCCTAACTTCTTCATTTAACTCTTCTTCATCTGCTTCAGAATCTAGCAAGAAATCTAAAATTTCCCTGTCCAAAGTTTTAAGTTCTTCTATCTTACCTTCCAGAGAGCCCAATTTACCCTGTATATTGTGTAGGTCTTGCTCATCTTTGCATAGCTCCTCATTTATCCCATTATAAATTCTGGTAAATGCTGTTCTGAAGGTTTTTCTTAGTTTCCTATTTCTTTCCATTCTCTCAATAGTGACTATCTGGTTAAGAACTCATACAGTCCTGTCACGGTCGCCAAATGTTAAAAGTCAAAAATGGAAAGAGAAATAGACTCGATAATGAGCAGAAAATAATTTAATTATTCACAAAAGAAAAGTTACTCAATCATAGTAAAATGCTACCAAACAATTATTTCTGTATTCACAACATAACAATTCATTCAAAAATCATATGTCTCAAAATTATTAAAGTTCATTTTCATAGCAGCTGGAAAAAGACAAAATATAATATAAACCATAGATTATTTAAGTGAAATGTTTGTATACTATATCCAACAGATTGTATAGTTGTTGTATTAATAGTCAAAGACGGTAGGTTCTAGCCCAGAACTGATTTTCACATTACTTCAGGATAGTCCTTGAGGGTTGCAGCATTATCACATTGTCATTGGCAGGATTTGAACCCAGATCCTCAGGCTCTGAAGCCCCGAGCTCTACCACTAGACCATCTTGCTTCCCGCTTTATTGCTGACAGTACCACAATCCTTACTGCTGACATTTTATGCTTCCAGTTTGCCGGGTCACGTGTTTGTCAGTGCAGACGCTGTAGCTTGGGTCAAGGTCCACGTGGAGAATGTCACCACTTATCAGCAAGCTGTCACTCTTCTAGAGGTAGGTTTAATGAGTTACAGACGAGTTGGATGTTTTACAATACCATTTATGTTTAACATTGTTACGAATTCATAAATCATAGTACAATACTTGTACAAGACCAAAATAAGTGCTAGGCCAACAAGTCAGGATGTTTTGCATAAAAAAACATTGTTTTTGAAGAAAATTATAAACAATACTTAAGTTTGAAAAATGTAAATCCATAATTTGCATCTATAGTCAAAGAAAACAAAATTAAGTTAATGTTAAAGTTAAGTTTATGAAGTTTACCTTTCGAAGGTTATTGGTTACCACCAGTACTTGGGTGTTATTTTTGTAATCCGATATATTTTTTGATAATACGACATCCTTTTGCTCCCGTTACTTTAGGAGTATCACGAGTAAACTTCACTGGGTAATTAATAGGGATGGTCAAGTCTCGAAATTTTGGGAAATTTTCGGGAAATTTTAAATCTCGTTACACGAGACAAGATTTCTTTTTGGCTGAGATTTTTATCGAGACGAGAAAAAAAAAAAAAAAAAAAAAAAAAAATTAAAAACGCCTGCAGAAAGTCAATGCAATACCCGCAATACAGGAGCGTGTTGTAGTTGCGTTTCCTTTGTGAAGGAGCGTGTTGTAGTTGCGTTTCCTTTGTGAAGGCGTTCTTATTTAATTAATTCTATAAATGTAAATATTACTTTAATTATTTCAATAATATTACTTTAATAACATTTGAGAAGTTTTGTTAAGTGTAAGCAGTGTGAGGAATGTTTTATTACTATAAAAAGTCAAAACAAGTAACTATTTTATAAAAATTAATATTGCTTTTATTTTATGATTTATTTTATTTTAGGATAAGTTGAACTCTATCCTAACTGATATCACTATGTTTCCTAATCGTAGGCATTTTTAATAAGTTAGGCGTGATTAATAAAAAAAATGTTATTCTAATGTTAAAAGATTGTAAATATTCTTGCCTATTATCATTATTTTTGTATTTAAACAGTCATCTAACAATGTTACAAAATCAGGTAAAAATTTTGAACGTGCATTTCCCGTTGTGTATGAGAAGGGAAATCCCGTCTCGATCTCGTCTCGAAATTTTATGAGAAATAAAAAATCTCGTCTCGTCTCGTCTCGAACTAAAAATTCAATCTCGTCCATCCCTAGTAATTAATTATAAAACCTTGAAGTCTGAAGTCTGAAAGTTGAATATTTGCCAACAGAAATGATGGTGTTTTTAACATTATTGTACTTACTAACAGAAATAGTATTAGGTAGTTATAAGGATTAGTTTTAAGAAATTACCCATGTTCAATGTACTAACGCTACAAAACAATGAATAAAGAATGTTTTGACTTTGATTTAATACAAGGTACAGCGCAAATTTTAGTAGAATTTGTTTGTCAGTTCATTAATCAAATCTATATTTGTTTAAGGACTTGCGCAAAGAAAAATTGATCTGTCACGCATCTGGAGATTTCAGTCGACCATTTATCGTGGGTTTTCATCTTTACCATATTGTTAACTACGACCCAAATAAAGGTAAATATTAACACAGTAGAGGTACGATTTGTATGGTCACACTTATAAACATTAATGAGAAGTCTTCAGGATAGAACTGTGTCACATCACTCTCATGAAATGCTAACGTTAAACGTTTCAAATCAGTATTAGTGATTTATTACTGTTCTTGAAGATGGCCATCTGCAACGAGGCCAAAACATCATGTGAGTGATGTGATACAGTTCTATGTGAAAGACTCTGATAGTGTTAGGATTAGCTTGTTGATATTTTAAGAAATCTTTATCTTCTAGACGTTACTTTTGTTTTCGTTTATAATTCTCTGGTTGTAGATGAGCCCAAACCTCTCCGGGATCTACAGAGTTTTGAGAATGAGTGGCTGGAGGTGGAGGTGAAGCCACCACAACCTCCGTCATCAGTGCCTCTGTTTCTGAGGGAAGATCTGCCTTCGCACTGTCACGACGGACAACCAGGCGTCTTAGGTAACGTAACACTAGGCGTAAACGTCTGTACAGTCAAATTTGCACGATTCTTCTGGAATTGCTGCTCTGTAATATATCAAATTTGAACGAATAGTGTTTTTGGCCTCTGGGGACATCAAAATGAAAAAAGTAAATCGGTCCTGGGGCCCAGGTCTTACCATGAGACCTACGGTAATAGCTACTTCCTTATAGGGAAATTTGATAAAATAAAAAAACCCTCAACATAGTAAAATGCATTTTCTTAAGAAGGTCATTACTTATTTACTTACAGTTCTACTTTCTAAAGGTAATTTATTGAACAAAAGATACTGTTGATAATGGTACCTTTGGAAGGAACTTATACCCCACAAGTGTAAGTTGTGAGTGAAATCTTTTACCATGTCTTGATGCTCAAAATATTGTCTGTTTATCGATCCTAAAAGGTTTATACATTGGTTGACAGGTGCTCAGTACAAACACACACACCTGGAGGTGGATGTGCAAGGCAAGAGTGACAGAGTAGAGTGGGGACATTGCCGTTACCAGTCGGTCTACAGGCCAGACAGGGCCTACGAGCTGGTCATACAGTGGATGGCAGCATCAGGGACGGTGGTCTGTGAACTGGTACGTCTTCAAACAGTAGACATCCAAAATTACCATAAAAAATTGGGGAAAACATTGAAACAAAATCTGTACACTTGAGTGTACCAAAACAAGGACACGTATGTCAAAAGAGGTTTCATATTTACAGTAGATAAAGAACTCAACTTGCAATGCCAAAACAAAAACAAAACAAATTTTAGTAAACAAATTAAAAAGCTTCTTAACTGACTTAATTTAATGTTTTATTTTTGTAGTAGCATTTTCAGGCAGCGGCAGTCTACAAAATAATAACGCTTGCTTCATGATCTTTCACTTTCAGATACTTTTTATTTTATTTTGTCTATGCCATTAGCATTTTAGCGAATTTCCCATATAGGGAATAAGCTATTACCGTAGTACTCATGGTAAGACCTGGACCCGGGACCGATTTTTTTTTGTTTTGAGGTCCCTAGAGGCCAAAAACCCCATTCTTTCAAATTCATCCTACTAATATTATAAATGAGAAAGTTTAGATGTATGGATGTATGGATGTATGGATGTATGTTTGTGACAAGTGAACGCGAAAAATACTGGTCGGATTGGGCTGAAATTTGGCATGATGATAGCTCACAGTCCCGATTAACATATAGGCATATTCTTATTTCAAAATTCCTTTCGGGCTCCGCCCCAGTGGCTCTGGAGTTTCCCATGTTAACCTTATGAGAAATTGAATTATTGAATCTTAACAGCTGTTTCAATTAAACAAGTTGGTTCTGTTCTATGATGTTCAATAGCATTAAAGTTACAAGGATTACCAACAGGGTGCAGCACTATTATTTCTTTTACATTTATGACAACAGCTAATTTGCAACCAAAAGGTGAGTGAGCGTAGCGAACGAACTTCAACCTGGAGGCGAGTTAGCGTAGCAAACGAGCTAACCTGAAGGCAAGTGAGCGCAGCGAACGAGCTCCAACCTAAAGGTGAGTGAGCGTAGCGAACGAGCTTCAACCTAAAGGTGAGTGAGTGTAGCGAACAAACTTCAACCAGGACGTGATTGAGCCATGCGAACGAGATAATCTTGAAAATTAAGAAGTTAAACGGGGCAAAGCCCGCGGGTTACAGCTAGTATATATATATGTGTGTCTGTTAGCGCGATAACTCTAGCAAAAAAAATGATCCGATTTTGATGAAATTTGGTACAAACATGTAAACCTACGTTTATTTGCACGATTTCGCGAACCAGTATGATCAGACCATGGGAACGGGGGTTTATGGGGGCTTTTATGGGTTAAAAATAGGTTTTTCCCATTTTTGACCCATAAAACATAAAATTTTGCAATTTCTTTCCAAACTAGTTTGTAGAGCTTAAAAAAAAATAATTTAGTATATTTAAGCGATGTAATGAGCAAAAAATCAGAAAAACGGTTAGTAACTTTTGAAAACAAAATTCTTAGGAAAATATATGGCCCAACTAAAGAAGATGGATTCTGGAGAATTAGACATAATTTCGAAATAAGAGAGCTATATAAAGACCCAGATATAACAGCTGAGGTAAAAAGCAGACGCATTAGGTGGGCGGGTCATGTCCTCAGAAGAGAACATGGCACAACCTTAAGCAGTGTATTAAGGAACGACCCAGAAGGCAGAAGGCCACCAGGCAGGCCTAAACTGAGATGGAAGGACCAGGTGCGACGGGACTTGAGGAAGCTGGGTAGAAATGAAGACCAGGCGCAGGACAGAGAAGGCTGGAGGCAATGTGTAGGCGAGGCCAAGTACCACTTGGGGTACCTATGGCCACTGCAGTAAGTAAGTAAGTAATGCGCCTAATGGTTACGGAGAAAATTCCAAAAAATTGTAAATTTAAAATTCCCATGTTATTCTTATGGAGAATAAGTAAACTGTTGTAGTTTGCTTGTTTATTAACATATTTTGTCCAAATTTGGAAAATGTTTTTATTTCTTACTATCTATTAACATTTTACATAAAAAAACACTTTTACCCTCCCAGTTGCAGCAAACCTAAGTATGTGTTAAACGGATTCTATTTAAATAGGGAATAAATGTGATATTTTTAAGGAGACATTTTAGTGTAATTCCAATCAGGCAAATGGAAATTCGTTTAGTCTGTAGGTTTGCTGCGGCGGGGGTATTAATGTTTTTAAAGGTAACAGTGTAAACCCTGGTCTTGTCACTACCTGACATCAACCTTTTTAGATATCAACAGCCCTATGACCATCAGGGTCTGGAAACTGTCTCGCTTGGAATCGAACCAGCGACCTTCAGGTTTGAAGGCGAACACTATAACCACTCAGCTACCCAAACAATTAATTTTGTCAGTTACCTCCACTATGTACCACCAGAGCTGTCAATATTTTGTTTATCATATATTTCATTTTGTTTATCGTATATTTCATTTTGTGATTGTGTTTCCCAGATCTCAGGCTGGGCTAGAAAAGCCCAAGCCAACCAGCTGTTGATGATACCCATCCCGCCTGACCCTTTCGCTCTCCCATTCACAATCAAGTCGGACGTCGTGAGGGGAGACCCGTCCAGGGGAGACCCGCTGCGAGGACCCGTCTTTGTACCACTGGAAACTGAGAGTCTGATGGGAACCAAGAGCTACTTGTTTGAAGGTCAGTGTAATGTTTGTGCCATCAAATGTGTACAGATTTGGTTGTCAATATTATTTATGAATAATGATTATCATTTTAGACATTAAATGCAGTTCAAAAGTCTAAAATGTGTGTCTTAAGAGTCCTTGGAGGCTGGTGGCCATCTTGGCTGATTTCAAACAGCTGCTGAAGAGTTAATTATCATCCAAAAATAGTTTTTCAAACACCAAAGTGGTTATAATTTAAATATCTTGTATACTATGAGATTAAAAATTGTCTTTGTTGTTTTAAATTGATTTCCAAGGGAGTTCATGGAAGCCAACGGCCATGATGGATTTGCCCGTCATAAGAGAAATATTAATTTCGTTATTTTTAAACAGCCGCTGAAGAGTTATTTGCCTTTTCAAAATATTTTTTTTCAAATACCAAAGTGATTGTAATTTAAATATCTAGTATTTATTATTTTTATTATTATTTTATGGCCAGCATTGGACCACTTAAGTCAATATAATGGTTAGATTCTTTTTAAATTCTGTCTCTTCTTCTTGTCCGCCCAATACTTCTTCATTCTTTCCGACCGTTGTTTTCTTTCTTCTTCCAAAACCACTCTTCCTTGTCTCTGATTGTTTGCTCCTATTGGCAGGATGATATTTTTGTCTTTGAGTACTGCAAGCGCCTCTGAAATATATATATTAAATATCTAGTATACTATGAGATTAAAAATTTTCTTTGTATTTTTTAAATTTTTTTATGAGTTAGAACGTATAGGCTCCAAGGACTCTTGAAACCACCTTTAGTGTTGTTTTTTTTTTTATACTTTACAACTTTTATATTGTTTTTTTAATATTTTACTACCTTTTAATTATTTTAAACTGTACAAGTTGTATGGTCTCCAAATGTGTAAAAACATGTTTACATTGTATGAACGTTTCTAACACTTTTTTACAATAAAAATTGTTAGAAATGCAGAGAGTTTGATATTTAAGGTACTTAAAAAGCTGTTTAGTTCATTAATACTTGCTTTACCTTTATGTATTCAGAAATGGTTGGCAGGAAAAATAAGTAACACATAGAATAAGTATAACATTTTCAGGTTTTTTTTTTTTTTTTTTTTTTTTTTTTTAATGGTAGCCTACTTAATACTTATTTTATTTTGAACATTTTCATCTTCCTCTACAGATTTTTTGTATTAGTATTTTTACTAAATTACATATATTATAAGGACATCCCTTATAAATATACCTTATCTAAAATATAAACTGTATGTTGTTTTTAGAATTCCCTGAAGAGACTTGGGGCCAAAGGCTGGTGCTTTTCCAGGAAGCTATTGCTGTCAAGTTTGGCTTCATCGCCTGTTCTGCTGACAGTGGGTCTCAACATCATCATCATCAATATGTCCATCTCACTGGTAATCGAGACTTTTAATCAATGTTCTTTCTAAGCTACAGAGTTGGGCTGGTAATCTGTTTTAATCTCAAAAAAGGCACTTTACGCCATTCTTTATCTTATAATGCTTCATGATGACACTGCTATTGTAATTCTGAGAAATATTATAAACATTTTTATGCAGGTAATGTGTTCCTGATGATTCCCTCGATGTCTTGTGAGGGTTCATCTTCTCGTATCAGTTCAGCCTCGAGTTCGGCGCCGCGCAGTGTCAGGAGGTACCCGACATACAACGATGTGGCCAGTAGCCCACACCACGAGTATATCACACGGACTGCTCATGAGGATACCAAGGTACACTGCAATGTTTTCAAAGTAGTCAATTCAGTTTCTAGAAAACCTTTTGATGATTAAACCGATTGACATGTTACTTTTAAATAATATTGACATTCTTACTTTGAAAAAACAACATTTAACTCAATTTATAAAAACACGGAACGAATAGCGTTATTTTTTAAGGTCTTTTATTTTGCAGTTTTTTATGTTATAGCTGTTGGCAAACAATGTAAATTGAACCTATTGAGTTTATAGCTTTAGATTACAGTAGCATATGATGATAAACCAGACTTTGCTAGTTTGAGACCTGCTATTTTTTATTACTGCAGCCACTTTTGTGGTTGGTCATGTGTCTCAGAGATAAAACCAGACTTAATCTTAATGTCATACAGTGGCGGCTCGTCCATAGGAGCACATGAGCACAAACAACAATGATAACACCTGTTTATAGTATACTCAGTATATCATGGTCTATTAATTATAATTCGGCCGCTTAGAAAGCGACCTCCTCCAGCATTGGTTGAGCATCAGCGCGCAGGTCATTTTCTAAGAGGCCAAACTATAGTAAGTTTTAACAAAAAACGCCAAAACAAGATACGTCGGCGTAACTGTAACGCCTGCAATCTGAATGCAGCAGTAAAGCACAAACACTCGAAGCTGAGCTGTCGACCTTAGAAGCAGCCCCGAGCGCTCTCATTGGCTGATAGATGAACACGTGACACGTATTAGTCACTTGTTGATGTGTCACTTCACTTCACTAGTTCACTGTGTCACTCGCTACACTACCTCAGTCAGTGTCAGTAGTTGTTCTGCTTTGAATAAAGTGTTAGGGCTATGAAATGCTCAAATGTAACCGGCAGTGTTAATGTTTTTTTTTTAGAAAAACTATGGTGTTCAGTTATATTTCAATTTTATAGTTTACAAAAATGCTGTGTTTTATTAAAAATGTAAAACAAATATTGTTTCAAAATGTATCATTAGAAGAATACTATTTTTATCAGAGAGAATAGTGTAGGCAAACTCCGAAACTATATTATATAATTTTGAGTTAAGGTATTTTATTTTTGTAATTTTATGAGATATAATTTGTAATAGGCCTACATACAAATTAATACAATTTATTAAAACAGCAAAATTGTGTAATATTGTTTCAGAAAGGTTGAAACTTTTTTTAATAACAAAAATATTCAACATCAATAAACTGATACAAAGAGTAAGACAATTCATCTTTACAACCCATACTACCCCTTCACGTCGGCATTTTCCCTTCCACAAGGCCTATGAACCTCCCACCTAAATAGTCACCAGCCGCCACTGTGAAGTCATTCAAAGGCTTGTAAGTCCATGGTAACAGGAAGATGTGTTTTTGGAATTTAATAAAAAGTTACAAATTATGTTTTTATCTTGGATGATCATATAATGTAGTGAGTTGTGAAACATGAAACTTTCATAGAACATTTCTTTCAATTATTATTTGTGGTTTTTATCTATAAGAGATAAAAATGTGCCTTGAATTTTGTGTGAAATTTTAAGCAACGTATGTGCTCTTCTGTAATTATCAAATATTAAAAAAATTAACAAATTTTAAGGATTTCACTATTTCTACTGTAAATTGATAGATAAAACCTCATCGTTTTCATTTCAAAACTGTCCAACTTCAGTTCTGTTCTCCGAAACAAAATATACCTTTTGAATTGACCAAGTAGCAATTTGTTTTTCCAGGTTGGGTTTCTTTGGTCCTGGAACCACATGGTGAGTCGTCGGTGGAAGTTTGTCAGTTCAACTCCAGCTAAGAGTGATGAAGCGTTCCAGAACAAGTTGCTCAGTGACTTTCGTGCCTTTTGCTCCAACTCAAACAACAGACTAAAAAATTTTTGGGAAACGTGCTGGGTTATGCCAACGTAAAATTACATACTTTGATGTCATGATCCAAATGAATGTTATAGTGAAGTTACCTTTAGGTTTAAGTACTGAAATACTCTTAGCAAAATCATATGCATTACGCTTGTAAATAATGTTTTGTACTTTTAATACTTTTGATTGAAATAGCGATCCTACCAAGGTAGGTAATCTAAGCCAAGTATGAATGGAGATGAGTGGCATGATCTTGTAGTCTTGTTACTGACTAAGGTGACATGTTCCTTAGGTAGGACTGTTAATTAATAGCCCATACAGCCAACTACGGGACCTACAGTTTATAGTGGAATCCAAACCACATTTTTGCAAAATTACATTTTTGCCTTGTAATTTACAAATTGGTTGGTCTATTGCAATGTTTTTATTAAATGGTTGTTTCAACTTTTGTTTGTTGTAATTAAATGTTATATCTAATATATAAAATTCTCGTGTCACAGTGTTTGTCTGCAAACTCCTCCGGAACGACTTCACCGATCGTTATGAAATTTGGTGTGTAAATTCTGTAGGTATGCGAATCGGACGTAAACTATTTCCCGTTTCGAAATTCTTAAAAGGGCTCCGCCCCAGTGGCTCTGGAGTTTCCCATGTTAACCTTATGAGAAATGGAATTAATGAATCTTAACAGCTGTTTCAATTAAACAAGTTGGTTCTGTTCTATGATGTTCAATAGCATTAAAGTTACAAGGATTACCAACAGGGTGCAGCACTATTATTTCTTTTACATTTATGACAACAGCTAATTTGCAACCAAAAGGTGAGTGAGCGTAGCGAACGAGCTCCAACCCAAAGGTGAGTGAGCGTAGCGAACAAACTTCAACCAGGACGTGATTGAGCGATGCGAACGAGATCATCTTGAAAATTAAACGTAACGGTACTTTCTTTCCATCGGTCTGTCTTAGGGGAAACCTATAACTTAGGCGATACGAAGTTCGCCGGGTCAGCTAGTTTTATATAAAATTTCTTTGTTTTCCATTACAGTCCTTTGTTGTTTGTGTTCCTTCCAATAAGATTAGCATTCATGGTTTAGTGTGTGGATTTTTGGCTTTTCCTCAGCTAGCCATAGCGAATGTTATGTTTAGTTGGGAGTACAGTCTTCCCCCCCCCCCCCCCACCAACAAATTACATAATAATGCTATTGTGCACTTTTAAACTCTTTGAAACCATGCTAAAGCTCTTCAAAAGCACAACTTATATATATGAAAGCTAAACTTCATATATCTATGGACACATGTAATATACATATAAATGAAAATGTTAAAATCAAATGAAGAAAGAAAGTTTGGATCTTCAATTTGACAATCGACAGCAAAAATAAAGAACCATAGACTTGTCAACATCGCATTTTGAAGGCAAGTCGAAACTTTTAAGGTAAATCTAAAAGATTAACTTGTGTGCCCCTTTAGTTGAGTCACAATTCCACAAAGCTCTCAATTAGTAATTGAATGTTTGATTTAATTACATCGACCTTAAATTCCCTCAACTCCCCCTCTTTTAGTAGGTACGAATGAGTGAGAGTGAGGAGTGAGGTCCAATCAATGCTTTAGGGCAGGAAGGTTCTATTTTTACTTTACTTAGCTGTTGGAAAGAAACATTTGATAACACTACCTAGAACTTGACATAATGTCACCCTGAGCAGTGGCTTTAAAAAGGCTTGGTTTAAACTATAAAAACCTTTCCACTATAAAAATTTACTTAGTTAAAGACCTCATCAGGTTTCACTGCCTTGAAAAATTTCAGCATGATCACTCCCAAAATTAAGCATGTTCACTGACTGCCCTTGAGAACGTGTAGAAAAACTCTCTTGCCTGGTTGTGATGTGATTCCATTCATTGATTTGAAACAATATACTAAAAGACCAGAGTCTCTTTGGTATAATCTCTATGGTAGAGAAATTACAAAAAGACTATCAAAATGGCAAAAAGCTATATTTAGAAAGGAATTACGACCATAAAGGGCAATTTAATTTATGAAATAATGGATGGTTTTGCACAAGGTTTCACGTCATGGCAAGCATATTAAGCATATGGTTTATAGAGGTGTGAATTGTAGTTTTCTCAAAAGTTCATGGGTACCGGTAGTTTGGGATTTGGTATGGATAAGTAGTTGACTCACAGAATGTACCATTCTTTTATACTTTAACAAAACTATTCAGAAAACAAAACATAAACTTTTTTGGCTGTTATCTAGGCTTTATCATTGATAAAACATACTCCTCAAGTGTTTTTAATGGGGATTTTCCCATAAATAACAGAAAAATCGGGTTTTCTCGAAAATGGCCCTATAAACGATTTTCTTAAATAATTAGTATGTTGGTAGTCCTAAAAGTAAAGTAGTAAAAAATACGGTTCAAAAGTAATTGGAAGCTGGTTTTTATCAAAACTATACAATAGTACAACACCCCATTGCTGTAACAATTACGATTCAAATGTTATTGCAGATTTTGTAATTTTTAAGTATAAAATATCATAATTTAGGCCAACTCTTACCGCTTACCCATGATAAAGGTTGTTGACGAGCTTATGGGAGAAAGTATGTGTCAGAATGCTGATACCATTTATTTCATAATACAATCATAAACGCCGTGTCATTAGTCATTTTCATAGGATAGAAGCCTTGCTGAATTCAAATTGTTCATCAATAATCGTGTTGATGTTGATCAGCTTTTTGCGTGAGACTTTCTTGAGTGTTGGTAACCCTGCAATTGATCAGCAGACCTCGTGCTGACTAGTCTCTTCTCTTTTTTCTTTCCTTTCTCTTTTTTTTTGTCATGTCTGTTTCTCTGTCAGTCAGTCTCAGTGAGACAAGAATTAGTAAACATAACCTTAAAACACTAACCACTAACCTAAATAGAAATTTTTAAGATAGCTTAGGCTTAATATAAATTACTTTTACTTTTGCTTGAACTTATCAAAATATTTTCCCTGAATATTCTTTTATTATGGACGTGAGGAAAGCGATCGCTGAACTAACGTCCCAACTTTCTGAAGTTAACTATGACTCGGAAGAAGACAACATTTTACTAACAGGTAATGAATGGATTAATATTTAAAATAGTATTTACACTTGTAATGCAAATTGTTAAGTGTTATTTATATTTATGCCTCTTAAATTATTTTTCGTATACATTTTATATTAGGTTTCTGCTATAGTTTTATTTGATCAGTTTGGCTCAGTTAATTTTAAATGATAATATGGAACAAGATAGGCTAACATTATAAAAACAGTGATAGCCTATGATTAATTAAGACGTCAATTTGAATTCATGTCCTTCTTTTCATGAGTTTATAAAAAGGTATAATTTTTGTAAATAGGCCTAAGTTTAGTGCCTCATTTGTCATTATCACAAACTAGAATCTGACCCAAAATAAACTTAACCTAGCCTAGCCTAAACGCTGCAGTGCATTGTCAATGAGTGGCGGGTGGCACTCTTCTTGAATAGATTAGACCCATTAAAATGACAGAAAATCAATAACTTAAGTTATTTACATTAATACTTATTTATAGCCTACCTCAAATGAAATATTTTAGTCTAATAACATATTAAATATTTATATTGAATGAAAATTTCATCCGATAGTAGGGCCTATATCACAGGTTCTCTGCCGATCTGTAACTTACCCAATCCCTCTTTGATAGCCTAACCCTAAACTTAATGATGTACAATTTTGTTTTTAAAGGAGCAAGCAGTAGCCTATTTATCACACACATTTCTTTTTTCTACAAAACATTATTAGCCTATCTCATTTGCCTTGTACTTTTTATGTTAAACTTTTCTTAACTGTTACTATTTTGTCAAACAACTACCGGTAGTCTCAATATAAGATTTTTTATAATTTATACTGCATACAAATCTTTATTGTACCGTACAGTATTATGAGGCTGCCAGAATAAAGATTTGTGACTGTCACATGCAGGATTAGAATATTAGCCTAATTTTTCTTTGGAAACAAAATTAAGTAGGCTAACATTGAAAAATTATATAGGCCTAATTTGATTGTAGGCCTATATTAAAATAGCCTTCATATATAAAAAGAAAAGCCGAGAGGAGAAATGATATATTTTTTTTTTTTATTCAAACAAAAGATGGTTCGGCAGCCATAAGTAACGTTAGGTTTGCTTCCTATTAATTTAGGGTAGGAACTTAGCCTACCAGTGTTTAAACATTTCTTATCATGTTATCTAACTTAGTCTTTGTTTTACCGTACTTAAAATGTCAAAAACGAAGACATGGTATCAAGGTAATATTACGGTTACTTAAAATCCTAGGCTCCAGAAAAGGTTAAAAATATTATAAATGGGCCTTGATTAAAAGTATTAAAGGATTTAGTATACGGTAATTTTTTAGATCAACATCTAGACTCGGCTGATGACGACTACAAACCCGATGGCAGTAATAAGAGCAAGTTAAGAAAAGCTACAGATATTCTAACATTACCTGAAAATATATACGGTGGTAAAAAGACTTCAAGGAAAAAGTTAGACTCTACCTCTGAGAAATCTGAATCTGAGGATGATTTGTAAGTAGGCTTCTTATCTCAAGTCCTTTAAAAATCAGCTTATTAATTCCATTTTCTACTCTATGGTGTCCTAGATTTGAGATACCTAATATATTTACTTGCATAGGTACTTGTGGAACCTAAGTCAATCATAAACTTTTTGTCATTGGGCTTACTTTCAAGTACGGTATTTTAGAAGTAAATTTGTCAGAATGATAATTTTATAATATCAAAAATTTGCTAATTTGATTGGTTCTGATATTAATTGCTATTTGTCATTGGGCTGTTAACTTAACGATGTATTCTAACAGCAGTTGTAGAAGTAATAAACATAGCCATATTCGGGGATTCCCTTTTAAAGTACAGTAGAACCTCTAGATTCCGAACCTCCATAATCCGAACGTCCACTAATTCGAACGCCTCATCGCTGAACTCTATACACAGTACAGTAGTTCTTTATTGTATACTGTATTTAATGTCCAGTACTGTATATTCACTATATTTACCACTACTGTATTTTAATATAAAATAGGTTACGTACCTTTACAACAACGAATATGAAATATTAAAATGTATAGCAGTCAATAACGGATACAATAGCAGTATTATCGACATTATTATACACAAACAAAAGAACAGAAAACCACTACAGAAAACCGATCAAAACTTTATTTCTATAGAATATGGCAACTGCTTACATTATACCTTAAAAAATGAACTAAAGAAACATAACATTACATTGGCCTCCAAAACTTCAAATAAACTAGAAAGCCGCCTAAATCCACGTACTTCGAAATCTACAGTTTCCAATAGCCTAGAGGACACTGGAGTATACAAATTAACCTGCAGCGACTGTCCAAAAATGTATATCGGACAAACAGGTCGTTCATTCAAAAAAAGGTTTAATGAACATCTACCCAAGCCTAAACTGCGAACACAACATTCTAAGTTCGCTGAACACCTGATGAATGACAACCACAACGTAAGCAGCTGTAGTGATAACCTGGGTATTTTACATAAATGCACCAAAGGCTCCTTAATGAATGTCCTTGAAAGCTATGAAATCTACAAAGCAACAAAAAGGTTTCCCCACGACATCCTGAATGAAAAGCTAAATTTTGGTCGTAACACAATATTTGATAGGATTGAGGACATTGATAACAAAGGCGCTCATAATCAGCTGTCCAACCCCCTCCAAGGTCAATGTCACCAGACCAGTGGCAGTCGGTAGTTGAGTCGTGTCCGTCGTGCGTGTAATGGCCGGCCGCGCGTCTTTCTGTATCTTAATGTATTTGTGCGTGTTAAATGTTATATTTGTGTACTTTGACGACGACATTATGTTCAAGTAATTTTATGTTTGACAAGGCTTGAAAATGAAACGTCAGTTTCGAAACTAGTCGCTGCTAAAAAGACTAACCTAGGATTGACGACGTAAAGGTACGGTACCTATTTTATATTGTCTTAAATCAATCCTGGAGGCAATGCTGAATAAATACTGTATTTTACTTTTTAAAGCATTTTTCATTTTTCCCGTAACAGTTACGATCCATTTTAGCCAAGTTTTAGCTATTTTTATGTAAAAACAACAATACCTATGTTCTGTAATCTGAACTATTCAATAGTTCGAACTACCCCCGGTCCCAATTAGTTCGGATTAAAGAGGTTTTCTACTGTACATGTAAAATGCCACTAGGTAAATACAGAAGGAAATAATATCATAGACGTAGCCAACCTTTTTTGTTGGTATTAACTTATGAATTTTTCCTGTCAAACCGTTTATCAAGAAATGGTACTCTCTCAAGGGAAAGGCAACCCATAACACTACAATACTCTTAATCTAATTTTGCATGCATAGTAAAAAACACTAGGCTTTCATAACAAAGATTGTTAATTTTTATAGTGATTTACCATTTAACTGAATTTAACTTTTAGAGCCAGTGAAGATGATTCTGATAGCGAGGATAATCAAGAGGAAGAAGAAGATGCCGATGAAAATAGTGATTATGAAGGGTCTGAAAAAAGTGAGAACGAGTTAGAATTAGAATCAAATGATGATGATGAAGAGAAAACTTTGCATAAAACTCCAAAATCTAAGAAACATCCTGTCATTGATTGCAATATTTATTCCACTGCTAGTAAAAACATCCCCAATGATGTAAAAAAGGGAGTGGCTATCAGAAATCAGTTAAGTAAGTAAAACTACTCTAATTAGGCCCTAGTTAAATCTGTCCCTTTAAGATAGTAAGGTGTAATCAAATGAAGATGACGATGATGATGAGATATACCTGTTTTCTTATGGGATTTAAGTTAAGTTATTGTTATCTGACCGTGAGTAGGTATATTTAAGAAATACCCCCGCCGCAGCAAACCTGCCGTCTAAGCGAATTTCCATTTGGCTGAATTGATTTTCAATCGATCTATTTAAATAACATTAGGTTTAACGAGTACCTAGGTTTGCTGCTACAAGGAATCTAATAAAGTGTGTGTTTTAAGTAAAATAATTATTGCTTAGTAGAAAATGAATATATTTGCCAAGTTTGATCAAAATATATCCATAAACAAGCAAACTACAACATTTTACAACATTCTCCATAAGAATAACATGGGAATTTTAAATTTACAATTTTTTTAGTTTTCTCCGTAACCAATAACCGTACAAAAACACTTTCGTATACTGAATTATTGGTTTTTTAAGCTCTTTAAGAAGGATTAGAGAAAAATTGGGAAATTTTGGGTTTTGAGGGTCAAAAGTGAGAAAAACCAATTTTTACCCCATAAAACCCCCCATAAAACCCTGTTCCCATGGTCCGATCATGCTGGATCGCGAACTCATTCAAGTTTATCCCGCCTTACACCTTCAAACCAAATTTCATCAAAATCGGATAAAAATTACTCAAGTTATCGTGTTCACGGACACATATATATATATACATATATAAAAATTTGAACGAATGGTGTTTTTGGCCTCCGGGGACATGAAAATGAAAAAGTAAATCGGTCCCGGGCTTAACTCTTACCATGAGACCTACGGTAATAGCTACTTCCCTATAGGGAAATTTGCTAAAAAGCAAGCGGCAGTGGCTTAGTGAGCCTGCGCCCGTTTCAGCGCCGTCCTTAGGGTGGAGCGAGTGGAGCGGCCGCTCCAGGCCCTGCGCCGGAGAAGGCCTCGCGCAGCGAGGCCTGCCCAGTGATGCCTGCCCGGCGATGCCTTACTATCGCTAGAAATAAGTTAATGTTTTGGAATGAAAATAAAAAAAATAAAGTAGCCTACAGACAGATACATGTGCCTAAAATATGTCTTATTTATTATGAATTAGCCTATATCAATTGTTGTATCGATTAAAAACCTACGAACGACATTTAAAACACAAAAGAATATCAAACAACGTTTGACAGCTCAGCGGCGATGACGGAACCCGAGCCTCGCGGCAGCCACCAAGCCACCCCGGTGAATGTGAGTGAGTCATACGCTTACTCTTACTGGTGCCATTAAAGTTATATTGTATGATTAATTAACTTCAATTTATTTAAAGATGTAAATGTTTACTGGATTAAATGGATAATCAGCGTGGATAAGACTGACTGTAAACTACTCGCATTTCACAATAAACATAAACCTATAACAATATTTGTCATTAAAGTAAAAAGTAATACTGTGAATCAATTACACTGTAATGATACTACCTCTTTTAATTTATTATTAAAAACTCATTGACAATTATAGGATTATAGGTAATATTTGTTTACCTTTAAACCCCCCATTACAGACCAACTGCCGAAAACACAATAAACTTATCTTGACAAAAAGTACATAAACAAGTTAGCCTAGCATTTATTATTTACAAAGTGACGGGACGACAATCCACAGTGAAGAGAAGTGTTCATTTTTTTATTATTTATTCTAAAGAACTTCGTGGACAATATTTATGATATCCACTTTGGAATTGGAAAAATAATATGTGCAATTAGCTATAATATTAACGGCCATTTACAGAGTGTAAAAGAAATGACGAATTTGCAAGTATCTCATTGACAATTATTTATGTAATATTTTTACCTTTAAAACACCCTTCACAGACCAACTGCCGAAAACACAATAAACCTAACTTGGCATAAAATAAATAAACAAGAAAGCCTATAAGCATTTACTATTAATTGTCGTCCCGCCACTTTGTTTAATTTACAAAGTGTTAATTCAATTCACAATCCACAGTAAAGGAGAAGTGTTAATTTTTTTTTATTAATGATTGTAAAGAATTTTGTGTGCAATATTTATGATATCCACTTTGGAATTGGAACAATAATATGTGTAATTAGCAATAATATTCACGCCCATTTTCAGAGTGTAAAATATTCATTTTTTTTCGTCAAAGTGCTTAAAATGACGACTTTACAAGTATAATTTTACAAAAATTTTTTTTTATGTCAGTAACGAAGCTGTTGCCTTATTCATTTAACTCTAATCGTCCACTCATCTCTTAAACTACACCTTAAATTGGTGTGTCGGAAAACCCCCTTTATCTCTCTTGCCCTACCAAAGTTGTTATGTTACACTTACCTAATATCGGCTAATCTCAATCTACATTTGGATAGCTATCTCGAGGAATATAACCTAGAACCTAATTTAAGTATTTTTCAGGTATTTGTGAAAATTTGTTAAAGTGCAGAATAAAGCTTCAGAAAGCCCTTTCAGCGAGCAACACCTTGCCTAGAAATGAAGAATTGTCTATAGACGACAAAGATAAACTCAACAGATGCAAAAGTAAAGTGCTTAATTTACTTGGAAAATTAAATGAAGTACAGGTAACCAAAAATTAAATATTATAGTCTACGTATATTGCCTAACATTTGACGGCCAATATTTGGCCAGACTATCAAGTTGTGTTTGAACTTTTAATGTTCGCTTATAATTGTTAACAGTATTACACGACCATTACGGGTTTCACCAGTAGCCTAACTATGTAATCCTTCTATATTCAAATCTAGTTGAAGACAATTAGGAGACTGGCAAAGCTGAGACTCAGATTTGGCCCTGAGAATGCCAAACTGTTTGATGGTTAGATTCTTTTTGACTGTTGCTATGTTGCTAATACAAGTATAATATCAACAGCAAATAATGATTTCTTTTAGTGATGGGCCGATTCCGATTCTCGATTCCAAAATACTCTCGATTCCGCCGGAATCGAATCGAGCATTCGATTCGAATCTCCGTGGGTTTGGGATCGATTCCGACTCTCTTCGATTCTTTGATAAAATTGGTTAAAATCAGCCATAAACGTCATATAAAGCAACAAAGAAACAAAATAAATCAGATTGCTAATGATTTGCTTGCAACTCTGAGCAAACAACAAGTCCTGGTCGTATCGTCACTAACTCAGCGAGACTAGAGCGAACGTATTGCAAAAATAATAGATGCGAACTCAATACAGAGGCTTAGTACAATGAGAAACAGTTAACAGATGGGAATTGGAGATTCGGGCAAACTGGACTGGAGCGAGTAAGCATTGCGTCACAGCTCACAAGACATACAAGGAAAAAGATGAGCATCGATTTAGATCAACCAGTGGTACCAAGGCTACTAACCACGAATACTAGAAAAATACCGGTATAGATCATAAACATAAACAAATGACATTTTTGGCCCAAAAATACACATTATTTCACATTGCTTAAATGGAACTGCCAAAACATATGTTCAATGCTATTCGGGCCAACAACGTCAGTTGTTTATGTTTATGATCCATACCGGTATTTTTCTAGTATTGGTGCTACTAACTGAATCATTGCATCGCTACAACGATGTTATCAGTAACCGATAACATCGTTGTGAAAACATCGATGTTTTTGGGAATAAGACATAGATTTTTTTCTTCAATTTTTCGTCTGGTCTCTGTACTCTCCAGTAACGGAAAGCATCGATATCTCAATACACTTGGTCAAAAACATCGATGTGAAAAACAACGAAAATCGATAGAAAAACATCGGTGATGTGAAAACATCTACTATCGATGCTCATCCCTAAACAGAGCTGAGCTACCATTCATTACCAAAGTATAACAAAACACTTCGTATTCGGTCCCGAAACGTCACTACTCAACGAGACTAGAGCGAGCGTCCTTTTTATATAGCCTAAAAGTGACTTGGGCTTGGGCTTGGAAATATAATTTTGTACAGTGAATTTGGAAGGTTTTAACAACCTATAAATGTTCAAGTGCGCGAAATTGTAAATAAACTTGTTTAGTGTTGCAATCAACGGGTAAATCTTCAAACACTGGGTATTTTAATGGCCGATAAGCAGAGTAGTTTTGCAGGTTCCGTTATTGTCTGCCAACAGTGGCAACACTGATAAAGTGAAAAATACTTAAATGATCCAGTACGGACGACATCAACAAATCGTACTGTTGTGAAATAGTAACTTCAACTTGTCAATTTGTAAGATCAACTTTAACCCCAAAAGTAAAACGTAGGCTATTGAGCTTGCCTTGTTTTTAGTTATCGTGATTGTTAGTTTGTATTATTGTTAGGTTTAACTTATTTGGACAAACAAAAATCATGTCTAGAAGGAAGAAAAGTGACGTTTGGGACTTTTTTACAAAGGAAAATGACGAAAGCGTTTTTGCTACCTGCAATATATGCAAAAAACGATTATCAAGAGGTGGTAAGTCACATACCACATCCAACTTGTTTAAACATATTAGGACTTTTCATGCTCTCGAATTTCAGCAAACACAGGAAAATGACCAGCTGTTAGGTTATGATGATGAAGATGTAGGCCTAGATCAACCTGATAGGCCTAGTAGTAGTCTTGGAGCTTCTAGGCCTACTTTGCCTACTTTTTCTACTTACTTTTGTTGTGAATCGTGTGATGATAATGAATGATTTTTTATCGTTCATACAAAAGTTATTTTATAGTATTCTATAGCTAGTATTTTACAATAACCTTGTAGGCCCTAAATATGTGTATTGAATGTGTGACATTCTAAATTCTACATATAGATAACATGCTTGATAAGCTTGTACTGATTTCACAATTTTAAACACATTCATAAAACATAATTGAATTTGGAATCGGAATCGAGTCCGGAATCGAGATTCGAATCTCAAATTTAAGAATCGGAATTGGAATCGGAATCGAGAAATTTTGGAATCGGCCCATCACTAATTTCTTTACTATTTTAAATCATAGAATGGGTGAAACCTACATTGTAAATAGTGTTTAAATACAGACTTGACACGAATCTTCGGAAGACCCATAGTTTAGTATGTTCTCTTTGATTACAAAACTTGCCACAACGTGGTATAGATGGGACGTATGCAAAGTCATGGAAAATGAATGTATTTTTTCTTTTCATTTTAGAAGCTAGCCTCTGGAATACCTTGAATATATTAAATTGGTGTAAATAATACCTGCTTCGTGGTTATCCTATTGTTGCTAGTGTTGCAACTAGTTTAGACTTTTTACAAAGTCATCTTAGGCGAAGGCGTCAAGGATGTCAAAGGGTGGTCACTTCATATGAAGGTCGTCATTACACATAAAGTACATAAAAACACGAACACGAATACGGACATAACTTGTAAAAACGGCACATTTAACACGATTAAACGAACAACGGTAACTGTTAAGGAATGATGTGACACGACCGGGATGGATGCAAGGTCTAGACTAAACACAATTTGCACTATCGGTACAGTTATTTCTTAACTTCACTGATTAAATTTTGTTCTCAGGTGGAACTATTGAAACAGTCTGCTGAATATAACTTCAAATCCAAAGATGTGTAAGTATAAGTATGAAATAGCTTGGCAATAGTTGAGTTTAGATATGTTGCTAGTGGTTAGCGTCTCAGATTTCGGTGTGGGAGGGACGGGTTTAATTTCTGGCAACCACAAAACTTTATTCTCAAGGTCTCTTGTAAAATGCCACTGGCGTGGAAAAAAAATTACCCAATGAATTCTTGTAAACTTTTTAGACATACCTATAATATAAATCCTTCCTAACTTATGTAGGCTATAAAAAAAATAACATTCACTTCAAATTTGGTATAAAAATTAACAGCGGTTTAACAGACATTGATTTATACATCACATTATTTTTTCAATTGCAAAAGTTCCCACAGAGATAGTAAGACTAGAAGTGTGACTCACTGGTCAGGCGCTGGGCTACCTATGCTTTAGTGCATTTGACTGGTTCTACCTCACTCTGTATTAGGATCAGTATGTTGAAGTATCTTCCATTTTCACAGAAATTCAGACGCTGATGATGAAATTCTGTCCGATGAATCTGAGATTGAAAATGGAGAAGAAAAAGAAGAAGAGGACAATGACGAGCAGCCAAGAAAAAAGCGCAAGTTAAATGACTACGCAACAGTTTTGCACACAACTTATAAAGACTTCATTCCATATAGAAACACTTCCATACAAAAATGGAACGACAAAACTAAAGTGTCTACTGGGAAAATGGCAAACTCCAACTTTTCTGCTTTTGACCAATCAACCCTGAAGCAAATTGAACAGATAATGGCTGACAAAAGCAGATTAATAAGAAGAACTCAAGTTAGAAGAAACAACACTAACAAGAATAATTCAGATGAAAACAAAACTGAGGTAAATATAATGAAGACAAATTAGTAATCTAATTATAACAATTTTCCCTCGTTCTTGGTTGTTATTATAGTTACCGTGGAACTCCAACTATCTGAATCCCCAATTATACGAATCGCTTACTGAAATAATTGAACAAACTTCAAACCACAGTAATAATAAGAATCGTTGCTAAAGAAGGAAAAACCCATGGTTGTGGTAAAATCCAAAACCTTTCTTGTAATCGTGTAGGTGTAGACATCATCGTCTCCCGGCGTCACGAAAACAATTCACATCATCATCTATTCCCAGGATTAAGGCAAAATCTTAAATATCTAATTTGGTCTTTTAGACATATTTTTCCCTCCCTCTATCACATAAAATCATAATTGTCTTCCATGATTGCAGCAAAAGTGTGAGTTTTTAATCACCAAATCTTCGAAGACACTTTTCTGCGATCATAACAGTAAAAGCTGGACTGTACTTGGCCTATTTTCTGTTAGACCGGAATATAGGTAAAAATCCAATTATCCTAATTTATTCGGATAATTGGAGGCCTACTGTACTGTAGTATCCATAATTAATTAATTTACTAAGATAAAGCTGCCTTAATTAACGCTTATGTAAATTAGAATGTGTATTTTTTTTAATTAACAACTACTGTCATGTTAACCAACTTATTTACTGAAAATAAATAAAGATATTGTAAGGTATTTTATGTATACTATCTATCCATATAAATCAATATCCAGAAGTAGGACAATAATATGTCTATTTTCCATTTTGAAATGTATCTTTCTTTGATCTGGCTTGTACTCACTGTTTATCATTGTTTTAAAAACTTTTCTTACATACAGGGTATTTATAAAAGAATGCCGGGATTTTAAATGGTAATTGTTTTGATACTATTCAAGGTAACTAAACGTTTTATACGTCAAACTGAAGCTAAAATAGCTAAGTTTTGTTTCCCGTGTAGTAAGGGAAGAAACTTTGACCTTGGCATGCGCAAAATAGGCGCGGGGTGGTAGGCCGCTATTGCGACTCACACGCCTGATGCCAGTCGCTAGTGCAATTTTTATGGCGCAACAGCCAGTCGCTAGTGCAATTTTTATGGCGCAACAGTGCAGAGTGTAATCTGTGGTTCCCAGATTTTTTATTGATTGCTAAATTAAACTAAATTTTTTATCTACTTGATGCTAAAGAAATTTGACGCTGGTTTAATGAGTTTCGTAGCGTTTTGAAAAGACATTCACCTGTCCGGCTACAAACAAGCGATGCCATAGCCAAATAAATTTGATAATTCTGCATCAGAAGCCCCAAAAAAACCGATTGCCCAAAGAAGGCTTCAGTTGAACATAGCTAATTCAACACTTCATGATATTATCTGTAAAAAATATTGTCTTTGTGCCTAAAAAGATTCAGTTAAGACATCATATAAACCCACCGATCGCCCTAAGCGACTTAGCCAGATTTACGCTAATATAAGATTGATGAAAATCTGAATTTTATTAAATTATTCCAAATTGTATCAAAAGTATGAGAAAAAAACTTTGTTCTTTTCCTTTCAATTTTATGTTTAAATGATTAGATTGTCTTGAACAGTCCCCGAACAATGCATTCATAAAATCCCGGCATTCTTTTATAAACTCCCTGTATATATATTCAGTATTTTAGAAAGCTATTTTTTAATTGCAGGAAATCCCTCTGGATCCAGAGATATTTGATGACACAGACTTTTATCACAAACTTCTTCGAGACTACATTGAGAAGAAATCTGTTGACGCTTCAAGTTCATCAAATACCGAAAGGTATTTAAAAGACTATTTATCAATCCTTGTTATTTTTGGATTCATTTTAGTATTTGAGTGCCCAAAAAAGTTCATAAATTCAAGCCTTATAAATCGACTACATATTATATAACTTTTTATTTGTAGGCCCTATTAAATTCACAAGAATTTCAGTAGGTAGTTGTACATATAGCAACCAAGCCTAAGCTCAGGCTTTCAGACCATGTAGCTTGTTTTTTCGTAAGTTTATCTGTAAAATTTATACAGTTTGTTTCACAAAATGAAGGTTTTTTTGCCTAAAAATTCTCGTTTTTGAAAATAAATATTATTTTGATTTAATATTGCTGATACGTAAACTTATTGCAATAACAAAATGATACTTAAAACTGGTTAATTTGCACAAAAATTACAAAAACGAAGGCAAAATTTAAAGTGACTGTATTAACAACCGAAGAAAAACAATTCACCTTGATTTGAGTTTAGTTAATAAGTTTTTAAAAATTATTTTGATAATTTTAATTCAGTCCATTAGTAGGAAATACATTTATGATAAGTTGTTGGGCATTTAAAACTCAACTGATTTGAAAAATTGTGATGTTCAAACTGACTTCCAGACAGCTGATTGAGTTGCAAAAATTGAGGAGTAAAATGAAGAGGACCGTGGATACCAAGTCTACAAAGGGGAGGAAGCTCAGATACGTCGTTCTGCCGAAACTTGTAAATTTTATGGCTCCCCGTCCATACAACACGTGGAATGAACTCGCTGAAACAGAACTGTACAACTCTTTGTTTGGAAAAATTAAACTATCATAGTTGAAGAAGTTTAATATAGTAATTATATTTCATCCTTTTTGAAATGACTAAATATGTGTGATATGACTAAAGAACTGAGCTGGTCTGTATTTTTTTAAACCACTCTTTTCATTCTTTTGTCTTCACTTTGAACAATGCACCTTAGTATATGATACATGACAGTGTTGTTTACTTAACCAATAAGTGGGAAAAAATCAAACAACACGCTCGGGAGTGGGTTCAGTTATGTAATAACAAATAAATAACTTAAAACAGCAACAATAAATTATGATAAAACATTTGACTAGTAGTTTTGAAATCAGGAGAAGATTTCACTGGGAGTATCTAGAGCTGTAAGTATATTTAGGTGTTACATGCCTTTGCTGGTTTTGTGTGAGCTGTGAATCTAAGTGTTGTTTATATTGGCCTTGGTCAGCTGATAGTTGTTCAGGTTGAAGTAGGGGATGAAATCCTCCTTCTTGTTGGGGTTGGGAATATGCCTGTTCTTGTTGGGCATAAACTTGTTGGGGCTGCGAATAGTCTTGTTCCTTCTGGGTCTGGAAAGAATCCTGTTCTTGTTGGGGTTTGGAATATGTTTGTTGTTGTTGATGGGTTTGGTAATAATCTTGTTGTTCTTGTTGGTTTTGGGAATTATCTTGTTGGGATTCAGAATAATCTTGTTGTTCTTGTTTTATTGGGGAATAAACTTGATTCTGTTGATGGAGCTGGGAGTAAAATTGTTGCTTTTTTGAGGACTGGGAAGTAAATTGATGTTCTTGTTGGATTTGGGAATGATCTTGGGGTTTCAGTTGTATTTTTTGCTCTACATACTGGGGACTAATTTGTTTCTTCTGTAGGGGCTGGAAGTTAGCTTGTTTTTCTTGTTTCGATGTTGAGTAAACTGGCTCTTCGTTAAATGAGGGAAACATGTCTTCTTGTTTGGTTTCAGGATAAAACTGTTGATTTTGTTGAGCATTCGAGTAACCTTGTTCTTGTTTCAATGGTAATGACATTGGCTCTTTCTGGGATTCAAAATAATCTAGTTGATTGTGTTTAGGCCAGTCATCTTGTTGGTCTTGTTTTGGGTAAATTGGTTCTTGTTTGGGTTGTTGATTTTGTTGAGGCTGGGGATAAATCTGATGTTCTTGTTCAGACTGGCTATAAAACTGTTGCTCTTGTTGGGGTTGCAGTTGTACTTGTTGCTCTGGTTTCAATTCTGAATCATGGTGTTTCTTTTTTTGGAACGAGGAATTTTGTGGTTTGCGCTTTTGTTGGGGCTTAGGATAAATCTGTTGATTTTCTTCAAGCGGAAAATTATTTGGTTGCTTGGGTTTTAATGGGGAGTAAATTTGTTGTTGTTGAGGTTCAGAGTAAAGTTTTTGATATGGTGGGGGCTGGGAGTAGGTTTGTTGATCTGGTTTGGACTGAAAATGCTTATTTTTTTGTAACGGTGTATGAATTTGTTGTTCTTGTTGAACCTCAGGGTAAACTTGTTGATTCTGTTGGAGCTGAGCGTAGGTTTGTTGACCTTGCTGTAAGGGGGAGATTACTTGTTGATTTGGCGTATAATATGGTTTGTCTTTTTGTAACTGAGAATAGACTTGTTGTTTTTGTCGGGACTGGGAATAAATTTGTTGCCATTGTTGTAATTGTGAATAGTCTTGGGGTTCTAGTAACTGTGTTGACAATTGTGGAGTTTGTTGATGCAAATTTTCTTCTTGCTCTTCATGCACAGGTGTTTCAAAACCCTTTGTGGGCTGAAAACCATTCTCAGACTTAACATTCTCGAATGTACGTTTATATTGAGAGGGCTGTGTGTATTGAGTTTGTTCAAGATTTTCTTGTTGGTCATGCTGAGAGTGTTCATATTCTGGTTGTTCCTCTTCTGGTTGCTCATATGAAACTTGTTTATAATTCTCTGGCTTCTGGGGTAGTATGTGTGTAATAGGTTCTGTATGAACCACTGCAACAAATCCTTTGTTCTTATCTGAGGTGTAATGGACAATTCTTCGAGCCCCTGTAGGTTCCACAACTTCGTACTTTCCTTGAACCGAGTCACCGTCTCGCTCCTCATTGTGGCTTTTGAAATCACCTGTGTTTGGATCGTGAACTTTGTACTCATAATTGTACTTGGGGTGAGAGTCATGGTAATCTATGTGGTGCTTGCCCCTGTGGCGGCCGACTTTATTGGGTCGATTCTCCACAATTTTACTATCTAGACCTTGAGATTGGGTATGTTCTGGTTCAGTGTAATGCTGAGGATGTTTTTGAACCGGAGCATACTTCTTACGCTGAAAGTGTCTGTGGTTCTCTACTCTTCCAAAATTTTCAATTCGTTTCCGTTGGTTTTTTCTCATTTTTCGACGAGGAGCTGGATACCTTGGGTGTTTCCGAAGCCCGAACCCTCCTGCGTAGGGTGTTCGTTCTCCAGATCCTACTGCAGCTTGATTTTTTGGAGGTAGAAATGAATCTGATTGTGCAGGGTAGTTATAAAACTCGTTTTGAGTTTTAAAATCTTGGTAGTTGGGTGTTTCATCTTGTTCTACCTCTTCTGGATAAGTGAATGCTTCTGCTTGTAAGGTTGGCTGTAATGGTGGACCTGCCTGTTGCCTATGTCCTGGCGATGGTGGATAAGCCGGCTGATTTGCGTATGCCTCGTATCTCTCCTCTTCTTGCTCTGCAGTGGGATGATAACTCTTCTGGATGGGTTTGAAGCCATTTTGGTAATTTGTATAGCCATAGGAAATGGAGACTGATGTAAGCAAAATGGCGAAGAAGAGCTGTAAAAATTAAAATAAGTTTTACTGTCGATTCATGAATTTCTCCTCATAGTATAGTGAGTATTCATAATTTAACCTTTGCGGTCGAATTTTGTTTTTATTTGTTCAGTGAGTATAGGTCGCCATTAGAGCAGTAATGGCGTGCGGCGACCTATACTCGCCATTCAACCGCAAAGGGTTAATAGTTTTTTGAAAAAGGGTTCATGTAGTGTGACAAATTTTGGTTATACTCAAAAAATGTGTATGTGGTCATTAATGTAGCAAATAAAAATGTTTTGTAGTCCTCGATAATTCACTTATGCCCATGAATGCATTTAAATGCAGATGAGAGCACCCCAAATTTCTTTTGCTGACACATAATAAGGAATGCCACAATGAATAAACAGCTGTGATTGTAACATCAATTAAATTATGCAATTTTAGTCGACACAAGTGAACCCGTGCGGTTCAACACGCCACAAAATAACATATTTATGAATTTAGAAAACAAATTGATTGTTGTATATATTGACTCTATCTCAAAAATAAAATACAGTAATAAAGCCTTAGAAGGGAAGCAGTCCAGCAATTTCCTAGCTGTATATGTCTTATATTTAGTAAGTTTATTAAGTTTTCAAGTATGTTATAGTTATTTTTTAAGATTTTAAAACTCATTTAATAAAACATTTTGTTATAAAATAGCTACTTCCCTATAGGGAAATTCGCTAAAAAAATATGTAGCATATTTGAAGGACGTAAAAATGCTGCTTGAAGATAGCCAATAGTGTTTAAAACTAAACACTAAAAACAATACTTTAATTTCTTACTAAACTATTAACATTTTACAACAAAACACTTTTTTACCCACCTGTGGCAGCAAACCTAAGTACTCGTTAAACTAATTCTATTTAAATAGGGAATAAATGTGATGTTTTTAAGGAGATATTTTAGTGTAAATCCAATCAGGCAAATGGAAATTCGCTTAGTCTGCAGGTTTGCTGTGGTTAGGGTATTTAGATATTCATTTTAAACACCAAAAACAAAATGACAGATTCCTCGGAACACATTTGGAAATAAAAATGGTTTCCTTGATTTTGGTTTCGAAAATTTTTGGCAGTAATTTATTGGACTTCCTGCATGTGTAAAAACTTATATGTCCACAATAATAAATAAGCAAGGTTAGTAACAAAGAATTTCTTTAAAATTTGTCTTAAAACTTAATGAACACATGAGTTACAAGAAAATTTGTTTCACAGTTTGACCTACAGACAGTGACTTAATCAGTTAAATTCATACCGGTAATTGGCATAATGGACACCAGACCGATCCCTAATAAACACCAATAAAAATACAATGTCATGGATAAACACTAATTAAGTATTGAAAAATAATTGTTTTTCAGTTAGTTTTACTAAAGATTTTCCTGACAACTAAACAGCCTCTCGATCCCTTACCCCAAAAAGATATAAGAAGGTATATTCAAAGTATGCCTTACATGTATTCCTTATGGATGTAGGATCTCTATGAAAAATACATCCACCACTTAATTTCCATTTAAATTACTGAACACTTTAGATCATCGCCATGTTTAAATCCATACAATAAATATGTAAGTTATAGTAATGCTAATTTTAAAGAGAATTTAAAAAATCAAAAAGTTAATTTTTAATATTTTGGAATTACTGTACATTGTGTAGTTTTTAGTGTTTTAAAATCTCCAAACAATTTGTGTCAAGGTTATAGAACTGGTAGATTAGAACAAAATAAATTAATATTCTGACACATAAACCCCATACAATTAACACTCATACCAACTATACTTATCTGTGAAAGGAAACAAATTAAGAGAAAAATGTTTTCTACTCACATAACAGTCCATCTTGTACTGATGTAGATCTCACTATAATGACTCCTAGTGGACATGGAGGGTATTTATACCAGGCCACGGTTCGTGACTTCACTTATACTTTCTCGTAGGAGGGGCTCAACTTCTAATTGGAAAACTGATCCAATTTAAATATCACAGCATTAATGTCCGGAAAATGCAACTCTTCCTTTCTTAAACATCATTAACCACTTCACTCTTCAATGTTTAGTGGTTGCATGCCTCTTGACATGCATTTAGGTTTACTAATGTAACAATAGTTAGGATCATGAAAACTATGTGTTTTAGAAAATACAACTCCTTGCTATATGTTTTTTTACACTGTGGCGTTTGAACATTTGAGAGGAAATGGTGAAAACTAGAGCCCAATACTGTTTATCGTTGTAGGATCATGGACTTTACAAACAACATTAATTAATTTCATTGTGAGAAAACTCACTGGACTGGAATTAAGTTTTAAATGTATTAAACAAGCTGTTACCCACAGGCTTCACCCCGTTTGACTTCATTAGTATTAATAAAACTATTGATTGGTTAAATTAAGCTGAAATAAACTAACATTAGGTATATTGAAAGTCCCCTTTAGGAAGGAATTACGACCTTAAAGGGCAATTTATGAATAGATAGTGTTGCGCAAGGTTTCTCGTCATGACGAACATTTTAAGAATATGGTTTATGGGGGTGTGACTTGTAGTTTTCTCAAAAGTTCATGGCTACTTTGGGCTTTATATATGGATATCAGGATGAAGGTAGGTTTCCCCAAGAGGTGTGACAGCTTAGTAGTTTCAATATACTGCATTGATAGTTGTACTGTTCTACAGGAACAAAACTATTTCCCCTAGTCATATGATAAGATTTAATAGGTTACTGTTGAGATAAGGAACCAATTTGCAATGTTATATTTTCTACACTTACTATATGATTTACAAAACTGTGTGTTTTTGTAAAGCTGGAATAATTTAATGAAATGCGTTAGTGAACCAGAAAATATTTTAGCATATTTATCCAATATATTGGAAATTATTTAGTTTGATTGCCATGGAAAGGAATGAGTGGACCTCCTAAAAAAAATTCAGTAGAATTTTAGCTACTCAATAAGTCTAATTTAGTCACCAACTTTAGGTGAGAAATAAATGTATTGTAATTCCAATACTAGTACCAGAAATGTTTATATTCCAGAAAATCTGTAAAACCTATCATGCGCTTAAGAGTTGAAAAATAAATAAAAACTGTGAAATTAATGGTGGTACATTTTAGTAGCTTAAGATTTCATGAATGTAGAAAGTGATTGGAACTCGCTTCAGCATTTTGATTTGAAAATTAAATTGAGTTAAGCCGACTAAGAGTGAAACGAAGGAACAATTGTAATGTGATCAACATCACAGCAGTTGGCAGTCTGGCTAATGTAATCAACATCAGTGTGGACATTTGGAGCTAAATTAAAGTCTTGCGTTAGTAAAAATACAGATTAGACATTCAGTAAGATAAAAAAGTGCATTTGGAAACCAGTTTTATTATTGTTTTCTGGTACTTTGGTTCATACAGACTACCAACATATATGAAGCATTTCAAACTAAAGCTCTTAAAAAGTGTAAGTTTTATTCACATCTAGTCCAGAAGACCATGATCCACAGTCTATGCTATTCATTATTCATTACCTCTATTATTGTTGGCATAGTCACAGAGAGAAGGGAGGTAGGATAGAAAACATTCAATTAAGTCACATCACATAAGTGGTGTTTAGGCAAAGTTCAACACCACCCCCTCGACTTCATGTCCTATAACAATCACGTTCCCTATCTGATAGGAATTTCCGCTCAGTGCTTGCCGTTCAGACTCTTCCTCGCTCCTCACAAGTATAGTTCCGCCACAACATACAAGAGCTGAAAGTGCACGGTTGTCGCATAAGTGTGGTTCTTCTGTACCTTAGCCTTGTATCAGAGGAGGCCATGCTATTGGTCATTATAGTGTCAATGCAGTGTATCACACATCCCATCAGTAAGGGCCAGAGGACAAAAGAGGGATATGAAGATTCTCTATAAGGAAGCAGATGTAAAAGTGAAGAGAAGTGCAAGGACTGACAAACGAAAATGGATGCGAGAGCTGGTGGAGAAGGCTGAAGAGGCATCTAGGAAAGTAGATATGAAAGAACCTATACCCAACCCAAGAACCTATACCCAACCCAAGAACCTATACCCAACCCAAGAACCTATACCCCAAAGAACCTAAAAAAGAATTTTGTTGTTTTGTTCTTCTCATAAGCACAGCAGATAAGTTTTCAGCGAATATCGTTCCTTGAATGTGGGTTGTGTTGAACAGCATTTTGCAGCTTGTTTAAAGAGAACATGTTGGAAATGTATTTTCAGAGTGTGCTAATATTAAATTTATTTCCCATTTAGCTTTTCATTCTAAGAGCGTTTGATGGGGATATAAAAGCTATAGCCAATTTTACAATGATTCAGTGGCGTCATTTCACCAAATCCTTGGGGGGGGGGGGGCAAACACTGGGGGATAAGGAATACCCCCAGCAAACAATATATTTTATTTGCAGTTTTGAAACTAAAAAAAGGGGGGTTTAAGCTTATTTTAATTGTCAAAAGCACTTCGAATGAAAACAAAATTATGAGTGAAATTTATTTAGATTTAGGTAGAAAATTAATGAAACTAACAATTATTGACAACAGACAGAATAATAATAATATGTTGCTAAGTTAGTCATCTAAGAAACGTGATCAATAGTTTCATGGTGTATTATTTTTGTTATTAGATTTATGATCAAATTCTTTTGTACAACATTTAGACCTATGGCAATGAATAGCATTGTATTCATAGCCTATAGTTTATAACAGTGTAATTTGGTTTTTAAATAAAACACAAGTATTTAATACTTAAAAGCAATTACAATTTTACTATCAATAAAATTATTTGACGCAATTATAATTGAATGTGCTACTGAGACACTAAAAAATATTTTTGTTTCAAATTACTGTAGAAGAATAGGCAAGATTTTTGTCTGCCGTGCTTTTTAGGATTTGACAGGAGAAAATATTTGTATATTAGCTAGTACAGCATATTTTTTTTCTCTAGCCCAACCCCCCCCCCCCAAATGACGCCCCTGCAATGATTGCCTTTCAAATTAAAAGTATTAACAAGTTGTTAAAAGGCAAAATTGAATTTACAACAGCTCACTTAGGGAGGAGCAACTGGACTAGATGCTCAAAAACGAAATCTTGAAGATAAGAGTAATTTAATTTTGACTTCACAGTAGTGTAAAGCATCTAGTCAACTGTTTTATAAAACTAGTGCACCTGTTGCTTGAATTCAAGCAATTGCAAAGTATTCTAGTCGTTATTTCAAAACGAAAAACAGTCATAATTTCCGATTACTTAAAAGAGTCAACTCAAAAATAATGTAATCAATCACTCCACTACCACAGTTATCAAAACTGAAATTGAACTCACTCTGAAAACGAACGGTCACTCCACTCCAGTTATCGAAACTGAAAACGTACACTTTTGTGTGTATCGTGTATCATACGTGTTTACTATGAACAGCTGTAATCAATACAAATTATTATTCGTCTGTTAAATATAAACAAAATCTTTTCTTCATTAGAAATACGTTGGAATTTTGATGGCCTCTGGGGCAAAGCCCGAGGACTTTAATTACAGGAATTGGTGAAAGGGGGCGTCTACATAAAACTACTTAATTTTACCCATTGTTTTTAACAATCCGTCCATTATTAACGGAGGAGCAGTGTTTTGTAGAAATTGCCTTCACGTATTATATATAAGGATTCTGCCTATTAAACGTTTTTTGCATTGAATATGTTGATGAATACAATATTTCCAAGCTCTATTATATTACAAACAGATGTTAACTAGGTGGCGTTCGCAGATGCATCCACAAAATTGAGCGGAGTCATCAAGGGGTCGTATTATATTGTTTTTGTCATAATGCAGTAAAAACAGTCGTCATTGGTGCATGCGTTGCGGGTCTAAAGTAGCATTTTTACTCTTTAGGGAATAAAATTCGTTTTTAGCCTCTATGGAGTAAAACTCAGCTGTTGTCAACTTAGTTGTAAATTTCTATTGTAAACGATTGAATAAGTACCAAAATATGTAACGATTCGTGCTTCATAATCATTTTAACCTACAGTCTACAGTCTCTTCCCATAGCATTTTAGCATTGCAGATACATTAATCCATTCCCACACTCAACACTGCCCACCTTTACTACTTCCTTCACCCTCCCCTACGTCGTGGAGCTGTTTCCCTCTCTTCCCATAGCATTTTAGGATTGCAGATACACTAATTTAATTGCCAAAGACAGTTCCCACACTCTGCACTGCAAGCTTTACTACTTCCTTTACCATTTCCTACGTCATAGACCTGTTTCCTTCCCTTCTCATAGCATTTAAGTATTAGATACATTTATCTAACTGCCCAAAAGGTTCCCTCACTCTGCACTGCAAGCTTTACTACTTCCTTTACCATTTCCTACGTCATAGACCTGTTTCCTTCCCTTCTCATAGCATTTAAGTATTAGATACATTTATCTAACTGCCCAAAAGGTTCCCACACTCTGCACTGCAAGCTTTACTACTTCCTTTACCATTTCCTACGTCATAGACCTGTTTCCTTCCCTTCTCATAGCATTTAAGTATTAGATACATTTATCTAACTGCCCAAAAGGTTCCCACACTCTGCACTGCAAGCTTTACTACTTCCTTTACCATTTCCTATGTCATAGACCTGTTTCCTTCCCTTCTCATAGCATTTAAGTATTAGATACATTTATCTAACTGCCCAAAAGGTTCCCTCACTCTGCACTGCCAGCCTTTACTACTTCCTTCACAACTTCCTACGTCGTGGGGCCTGTTTCCTTCCCTTCTCATAGCATTTTGGGATTGAAGATACATTAATCTAACTGCCACAGACGTTTCTCACAATATGTTCATACATTACTACTTCCTAAGCCACTTCCTACATCGT